TTGTTTCACCTAGGAAATCATTGGTGTGTCTTTGCCAGGCATCTTAAAGGTACAACACAAAGAATCTAGATTTTCTCTCTGTGTTAAGTAAACTAAAAGGAATTTAGTGCAACATGGGGAGCCAGACATAGAAGGTGAAAACAGCATAGTATGGGTTTCCATCCTATCATCAGCTCTGCCTTCTGTATTTGCTAGCTGTTTGGCATGCTCTGCTTGTGAAATGGCTGTGCAAGGCTTCTAATGTTGCATATTGTCTCCAGGAGAGAAATGAGGAGTTTCTCATGCTGTGCTTATGCACAGTTCTTCCAAATTAATTTAAAGTAATCACATGTACATAATAGCTAACATATGAGAAGGCTATTGCTAATTTCCACATAATAAACAGGCTACATCATCGGCTTAGTTTTGTTGATATATCTAAACAAGTGAGGGTTTTCTAGTGTTTTATAGTGGGGTTTTTTTGTAGTTTTCTTTTGTCCTCCTTGTCCCCTCATCTCTACAAATGAACTGCTCTTTGTGTTGCTTTGACCCAGCAGAAAAGGAAGGTATTATAAAACGAGTCCATTAATAATATTTGCAATATTTATCAAATAACTACTCATCAGATTAAAATGGCAAGGCCTTCTAAGGTGTTAAAACAATGGTATAATGAATGCCAACAGGGAGGCGAGTCACCCACAAAATTAAAAAGATATTTAAAGCAACACAACAAACATGTTCTGCAGCTCCTATAAGAACATACCTATGGTTTCTTTGCATGTACACCGTGCTTGCACAGAAATTATGCAACCAGACATGGTAGGTGGGATACTTAATTTCTAGATTATTTTAGCCCAGATTCTTTTGCAGTTCCCTGCACTTCAATCCACTGTGGCTTGGATGTGGTAGTTACACAGGTACAAATCAGGCCAGTATTTGGCTCTTTAGTTTCAGTACTTATTTACTGAAAGGTAAAAAGGGACATTTCTTTTTATCACAATGTCTCAGCAAGCATCTTGCCACAAGTAGAAAACAATTATTATGTTTAAGCAGTGCTATCACAAAACCCAGCACATTTAGGAGCTGTCATGGGGCACTGCCTAATCTGAGACCACCACTGTCCTCTAAATTGAGCAAAGAATAGACTCTACTAATGTTAGAAGTCACTATCTTTGTCTGATCATCAAAGCTTACATTTCAGGATACTTGAGAATGTGAATCTCTCCTCCCACAGAGGAAATAAGGCGGAGCTTGGTTGCAAGTAATTATTGCTGTGCAGAAAACAGCACTTGGAGCAATTGGCTTCCCTGGGAGTTGGACCCATGTCTGCTGGCTGGCTGGCTGAATCAAGGACTAGTCAGCATGACTTCACAGTCATCTAGATAAAACACAGGAAACCACCCGGGCCTACACTAAGGAGAGACATTCTGTTATTGCAGGATTTGCTATCTGTTTCTACATCTAATAGCCTGTTTCCTAACTGTGCACTGACTTGATTTAGTTTTATCGTACTTGGCAGTGTGATGAGTGGCAAGAGTGAAGTTATGTGGGGCTAGGAAATATAGGGTGTGTTGCAGTCTTCCCTATATACTAGGTCCTTTTCCTCAGAGTATTCAGAGCCTAACAAACTCTCAGCATTTTAAAAGGCCATTGCCCACTTCATCATGATGCTGGATTTGCTTGAATGCTGATAACACAAAAGTGTTGGCAAATTTTAGCAGAAACCTGTTCATTCTCTTTGTCCAAGGAATTAGAAGGAAAACCCCAAAGTTTATGTATCTCTGTTTAAACTGAGAAGCAACACAGCATGCCCAAGAATGGTAACTATGAATGCTGTTGCTGTGCAATGAAAACGATGGGATGCTTGGAACAGAGCTGACAAACCACTATGAAATTCACTGTAAGTGGGTATCTATAAAGCACCAAAGGACTAACCAGGGTGTGGTATTCATGTCATCCATTGTTTGAGGGGCACATGTAGATGACAAAATATCTTTCCATGGCATTCCAAGAGATGTTGTATGACACAGATAAGTCCATGGGACCTGATGCGGTGCACTCTACAAGTACTGAGGGAGCTGTTTGGTGTCATTGCAAACCTGCTTCAATTATCTTTAAAAGGTTGTGGTGAGTGGCCAAGGTTTCTGCACAATGTAAGAAAACATGTTATCCCTATCTTTATAAATAACAAGGAAAGAGGATTCAGGGAGCTGGACCTTATCAGTCTCACCTTGACTTTGGGGAATGTGATGGAGAAAATAACCCTAAAAATAACTTCCAATTATTTTAAGATGGTGTTTGGGAGTAGTCAGCACAAATTCACAACAGAGGAAATCATGTCTAACGAATCTGATAGCTTTCTATGAAGAGCATCTCACTGGATGATGGGACACCAATGGACAGGGTCCCAGACAACCAGATCTAGGCAGTCTGCTTCAGCAGGGGGACACTGGACAAGATGTACCCCAAAGGCTTATTCCAGCCTCAGTCATTCTCTCATTGTGTAAAATGTATCTGTGGCATTGCTAAGGACTACAGTTTGTGTGTGTGCTTGACACATACACCAAACAAGCAATTCAAATGCATGATAGGAGACAATACAATGTTTTAGGAGCATCTATAAACTTGAGCTCTCTTTTGTATTCTTTGGCTCAAGCAGCTTGAGAAGTGGATCTCTGCTTACACTTTTAAGAGAATGACACTTTCTGTTTGCTCTAAGTAAAGGTATATGAGCAATAGATTTTGAACTAAGTCTGTGATAAATAGTAAGTGCTTTGGCGACCTGAGCTGCTGTAGTAAGTGAATCCCAGGGCATTCAATATTAATTCTGAGTATTCAAAAGAAAACCTGAAAGAGAGGCAGATCCTGGAAAGAAAACCAGAAATCCCAATCTACTAGTTGTACTTCTATCTCTATCTTTTATTCATTTTGTTTTCCATTTATTAATTCTTCCCATTCTTAGGAAAAATGCCATTCTTAATGGCAGCAGAGAGTGACTTGGAAAAAACATATGGAGAAATCTGTGGAGAACAGTAGAAATCAGGCCTCTTGTGATCATATCTAGCACATTGTTGGTTGCTGTCTGTGCAATGGTTTTGTTCCACAACTCAGAAAAACAGGAAATCTGTGTACTAACTAATTGGAGGCTACCAATTCTGTGGGGTAAAAAATCACATAGGCTTATTAAAAACAAGAACTCACAGCCATGCATCAAGTGTATACATGAACACAGAATATTTTTAGGTTATTTATAAGGAAGTGTCTTGAATGGGCCTGCTTTCCAACACTCACATTAACCTGTTTATCACCTTCAAGAACCCTGCTCCTGTACAGGACTAGCCTGTGCTTCTACTAACAGTTCTGATATCCCACTCATCCAGACAGAGCAGATAGACCTATTTTGAACACACTTACAAATAAAAACTCAAGAGAAGTAAGAGGCCAATTAAAATGCTATAGGTGCAATGCTGGGAATATGGAAATCATACTTAAAATATCTGTTTGCTTTTGTTTTTATGATTGCGTGTTAACTCCATTAAGTTTTAATGCACACTGTAATGCTGTGAATGACAAGTGGCAAAAATTGCTTTGAAACCACTCCTTGCTGTGACACTTTAAGGAGGACATTGCATTAACAGTTTATTTCAATAATACAAACTTCTGAGAGACTGGAAATTAAGTGTTCCAAATGAGCTTTAAATATAGCACAAGAAGTTTCAGTTTTAATGGACAAAGTCTGTTCCCACTAAATGTACCCTTGTACTGCCAAGAGGCCTTTGAAATAAAATAAAGTGGCAAGTTTGAGGCTATTAGTGTCAGAATCAAACAAGCCAAGCAATTGTAAATTAAGCCGATCTCAGAATTAAAGAAATCTCTTTGGATGAATTCTTATGTTCCCCTTCACTCTGGAAACCAAAGTTATTCCCTTGAGTAAGTACCTGGCTTCTAAGGCATTTGTTGAAGCATGAGAAATACGATAGATGACTGCTTGAATAATTTCCAGATAACAAAGTATCTTTATTTAAAATAAATTCTTCATTAATGCTCAAAGTACAGAAAAAGAAAATTAAATTCAAAGAAACTTATAAAAGCTTCTTGTAAAATAACAGAACTCCTCAGCAAAATCTTAGGCTAATAACTCCAGATTAGTCAAGCCTATAACACTAGACTGAATCATAACAAAAACTGGTTTTTGTAGGATTTTCTTCTTTGGTAAAACCCAGAAGGTATCACTTTTCATTATGAGGTAAGCAAAGTTTGCCAACAAAGATTTTCATTTAAACTGAAAAGGAAGACACAGAAAATGAACAGTAAACAGGAATAAAAAAAAAGCTTTCACCTTTGAAAGTCTGTGACAAATCAGGACAAGTCAATGAAATTACAGTCCCCATCTCTGAATGGTCTCTTTGTCCAAGTGGCTGCAATGAATAACCTGATCATAACCCTCATGTAGTGTCATGTCTGGCATCCTTTCTGGGTGCTTTGGATGCCTTAGGGCCTGGCAAATGCCAGTGGAGGTCTGAACAACTGAATCAAACTTCTGGTCTCGCCCAGTGAGATACTGGGTTTTGAGGCCCTGGTGATGGTACCCACCAGACCTCCGCTGCCTACAGCAGAGTTTAAAGAGCTGCCCGTGCCAGCCCTGACACACAGACACACAATACAGGACTCTGTCTCAAACTTACCACCTCTCAAAGGCAGAAAAAGCAACCATGAGCTGTCAGGAGCATGGAGAAATGTAAAATCTTTAGTTATATACTGAGAGCACTCAGGTAATTGGAGCTCCAAGATCTTCTTGCCCTTACTTGCAGTACTTGAGTCTTCAGAAAGATAAATATAGTGTCAGAGGCTTCTGATGAATTGTATTTTAACTGCTTAACAAAAATGATATTTACTAAGCAGAAAATTATTTTTACTTGTAATTACTATAACTTTCATTTCAAAACTGCTACAAAATCAAGTTATAAAAATGTATCTTTAAGGATATGCTAGTGTTACTATTCAAAAAAAAACACAGCCAATATCATGTAAATGGTTTTATTCTCAAAAAAATAGTCATCAATATAAAATAATTCAACATTCTTTCTGCTTAAATATTGGTGACAGATTATGCATTTACTCAAATAAAGTGCTGTTTTTACAAATAGGTATTTTGTTTTTACTTTTACTGCTGTTCTAACCTCATAATATTGAATAGATAAAATAATATATTTTGGTTATTGAAGAATGCAGCATTACTTCTCCTTTGTATTTCTTCCCATGAAATCATTACATTTTCAATCTAGACTACTTTATCTGTATCCAATCAAAAGAGGCATATTCAGCTTATGTATTTCCCCATGTAGAAGGTGGTCACAATTTGTGGTGTCCTTCTTGCCTTCGTCCATGCTTTTGGTTCCTCTTGACTTGTGCCCATGTTGGTCTCCTGTGGGTTCTTCATCTATGGGCATGAGAGGAATGGAACATCCATCTTCTTGCACGTTCACCCATTCTTCCTGCTCTTCTGACTTTGCTCTTCTTAAATTCAGACCACTGATGCCTTGAACAATTCAACACTTAGGTTGAACTATTGAGGCAATCTCTTTGTTATTTTCTTTGCCTTTCTGTTGGTTTTGTATTTTAAACATGTTACTGCAGCAAATCCTATGTCAGTGTAGTCAGGATTAACTTTTCAAATTTTCATTTGTATGGATTTACTTAGTCAGATGCCAAGGTTCACCATAAAAAATAAAAACCGCTTTTGTTCCAGTAGCTACCTTTTAGAAGAAATGGCTTCTTGTGGTTTTAAAGAGCAGCCAGGAGCTGTAAGAGGGAAAAAAAAAGAAGTCTGAAAAACTGTAATCAGCAAGACTCACAACTGTAAACAAGAGAGTAATTCCACAACTACTGGAAACAGGCCCACATTTCCCAAAGTACACGTTATACCAGTATCTAACAGTTTGATCCTGTAATTCATTTTACTCATCTTAAGCCATCTCCTTTAAGGAGAAGGTATAAAAAGTCAAACTCATGTGTGAAAAGGTCACCTACTGCCACAAAGTTTCAAGTATCCCTCTTTTCTCAATGTGCACCTTTCCAGTAAGGGATTATCTGAATCCTGTACGATTTTTATATGCAAGTCTGTATTGATTTTGCTCCTATTTTTACTTCTCTCTCTTTAATCTCTAACTTCCTCCGCTGGATAATGTCCACTGGATATTTTTGAGTCTGAATCCGAAAATGAAAAGTAAATGCACAAACAATTCTGTATCTGCAGATACATATGTATCTATCAATATATATAATATACTATAGTATGTGAAAAGAAACTGGAGGACCAGAATTTCCACTAACTATAGACTGCATGGAATCATATTCTTTTTTCATCCTAGGTATAGCTACTCTTCATTTAAACTTTTGTCTGGAGAATATTCAGTTTATTCTCCTGCCTTTGCTCATTGCCACTACCAGATGTTTGGATTTTCTCTTTTCTTCCCACCTCTCAGAAGTGTTGTTTAGATGGGGGAGAGCAGTTGGATGCCTGTACTAAAAGACAAGATCTTTCTCTTTCAGACATTTCAATAAACTTGGCATTAAAAGGCAAACAAACTTAACTGGTAGTCAGCTTTACCTCCAACCAATTTTAATGGGAGTTTTCATAATGAGTTTAAGAAATATCCTAGCAGAAAAAGATTGTGTCCTTCTGAGTACAAACCTTGGATGCTCTCTTGCATTTTTCATGTAATTTTTGTAGAAATGGCAAATTCTGTTGCAAGCCACAAATGGGCAAAGGAACTTCCATGAAGTGTTTCCATTTTTTATCAGAGGATTTACCATGTAACACTTCCTTACACATTTATTATAACTACAATAACTAGCACATAGGATTTTATGTCTACTCTTCTGAAGGAAATTATTTCAGTTGCTTTTCTCCCGCCCCACCCCCTGCTTTTCTTTTTCATATGAATTCACATGACCTTTTTTCAGCTTTTCATTTCTGATTTGGCAAGTTTGTGTTGAAATGCAACTCCGTCTTCTTTGGTGTTGTTTGTTTCAATTAACCTGCTGACCACTGCCAGATCTGTTCAACCTCTTGATTGCACTCAGTTAACAGGAGCATGAATCTTAACACAGCCCCCCAAAATAAACTAAACAATTAGTCCTGGCAACTAGGCATTCAGAAAGTCCAATTTTCTTTTTTACTAGAATCCTCTAAGGTCACCTCAAACCACAAACAGAAACTCTTCCTGGGATAATATTATTTGTTAAATCCCATTCTCTCAGAAAGCTGGACTTCATGCTGCCACTTGCTGTTCCACTGAAGTTGGAATCCAGACAAAGGATCCAGACATTTTGTTCCACAGAGCCTCATGCCTCCATGGGCTGGTTATCTGCTCTAAATGGCAAAGCAGCACAGTAATTTTCTCTTTGCCGGACATATTCACTGGGCTATAAAGAAGCAGTGTGTTCCTAGTAGTTTCTCTTATCATGGCCAGGGTGCATTGTCAATTTTCCAAGATGTAATAGTAGTCAAACCACCAAAGTGTCCAAACCTGCTAAAACGTTCACTCTTGGAATGAATAATTTTATCAGTATTTTCTAAAAATGACCAACTAATTTCTATGAAAAAAAAGAGATGGAGGCAATATTCCCCATGCAAGTACTGTTTGCCTATTCAGAATTCATGGTGCTTCCAAACCTAATGGCTTGGAGGTCGAGTAACCTCTGAATCGTTTACACTCCTCTGCCTTATGCAGGTCAGGCAAGGACTGGAGCAAGGAATTCACACAGCCCAACCTAGTGTCCCTGGCATGGGGTGGGGTGGAAGGATTCCATTTCAGAAACCTTTATGTGGGAGTCCAAGACAGCTTAACCTGAAGTACTAGCAAAAAAGAATATGAAATGAATACACAAAGCAAGTAATTGCAAATTTCTAAGGCAGATGTCCTAGAGAAGCAGAAGGACCAGGCAGCTGAACTGCTTTGTAAAGAACACAGGTTGTTGTTCAAATTGTCACATAACTGAGAGGTGGTAACAGTGATGGAAATCTTTTTAATGGTTCAACTGGAAATGTAGGGAAACAGAGACCAGTGAGTTGGACAGTAATAGCAACCAGATTAGTAAAAACTGTAACAACCTGAAATTTTGTTGGAAACAGTCAAGAAGGGATTTTTGAAGTCTTGCCTCACCAACCTACTAGAATTCCTTGAAGGTGCCAACAGTCTTGTAGATTAAAGAGGTCCATTTGATGCTTGGATTTTGACAAGGCATTTCACAAGGTTCAAGGTCAGCCCTTAAGATAATAAGGAGCCCACAGAGTAAAAATAAAATTTCTTGTGTGGACAAATGATCTGTTAGGGAGGCAGAGGACAGAGGTTTGCAGTAAATAGTGATTTTTTTTCCATAGTAGAGAGATTCACCACTAGTGTTTCATAGACAACTGCATGAGGATATTCAGGATATGAACAGTATATTCAATATATGATTTTGAAAGGGCACACAGAGTGAAGAGAAAAGCCTTCTTAAGTTATCCATGTAAATAAAAAGATAGGTAAACAGAAGACTTGCAAAAAGACTTCATATAACATCTGTGCCTAAACAATAAGATAGCGACAAAATTTGGTGAAGATAAAGTAATATGAAGATAAGTAATATGAAGATAAGTAATATGAAGTAAGGCAAAGGGAGAAGATGATGCATGTGTGTTTATATAAAATTATAGGTTGTGAGCTCAAACTCAGTAGATCAGCTGAGTTGTAAGAGGTAATTTGAATTAATACCAATTCAGTCTTCAATGATAGCCAACACAGCAAAGTACCAGAAGTAACTAGGAAAGAGCAAGAGAATGGAAAGCAGAGAACACAACTGAAAAACAAACATCTGTCTGTCATGTAAATCCATAATATGCCTACATATTTAATACTGTATGCTAGGCTGGTATCTCCCAGGTCTGAAAAGATAACAGCAGAAAAGGAAAAGAGGTTAGAAAACCTATGGTACAGGGAATGACAAAGCAGCCTATAAGCCTTCCCCTCAAAAAAACCATGAATGAAGAAGGACATCACAGTGATCTGTAAAATCATCAGTGGCATGGAGGCAGTGAAGAGGAAACAACTGCTCACTGTATCTTCTGATCCAGTATGATGAAGCAAAAGAAGTCAGGACATGGCAAGTTCACAGCAAATGAAAGCAAGTAGCTCTTCAAATCAGTGTCAGATGAGACTGGATGAAAAAGTTGAACACAATTGTATGGACCTTGGATCTGACTTAGTACAGCTGCTCTTATGCTCTAAAATATTACACATTCCTGGAAATTACTTCAAGTTCCAGAGACTGCATAAGGATTCCACTGCTACTTTTTACAATAAAAAGCAGCTTACCTGGTGCAGAAACTTCTTTTAGCTACATGTTGTCTTCCTCTTCTCTGTTAGTGCTTCTGTTTCTGTTTCACAGCCAAATCTGTATCATGGAGCTCTCATACACAAAAATCCAAAAGCCAGATCTCTGATGGCAGCCTTCTTGCAGCCTCTTGTCAAAAGCTCAACAGGAGTAACTGTTGCCTCCATTCTTACAAAAGGATGTTCTCCCCAGCTCTGAGCCACCATTCTTGTCCTTTTATGTCTTCAAGACAAGTTGCTTGGAGCTACATTACATCTCTATGCTTCTTTGGTTCTTGAGTAATTCCAGTTCTTTGCACCATGTAATCAAATCCCAAACAGCTTCTGCTCACCTAGTCATACCTACAGAAGAGGCTCTTCATCTCTGGGATGTTACCAAGAGACATCCAGAAGTTCCCACACATGCTGACTATGCTGAGAATGGAAAGTTGCACAATGCATACAGAGACACCTGATAGTGGCTTTCAGCCAAGCAGACTACACAGAATACTGGAAGTGGCCCACATTCACTAACTACCCCAGCAATTCCCAGTTTGCCCCAAGACATTAGTAGGTCAACAGCTAACACCTGCTTTTACATATCTAGTGAAATGCAGCTGGCTGAGATTGGAACAACTGGGACTAGCTCATTACTAAGGTTTCCTAAAGCATATATACCTGAATTATTTAGCATAGCCCCTCAACAAATGAAATTATTTTGTGAGTAGATGAAAGCAGCAAAATAAACAATTGAAGAAGAAGCACTTTTAACACAGTTGAACTTCACAAGGCTATTCAATGGCTTTTGTTGTTTCTACTAAAACATGGATACAGAAGTACATGTGGGAATAGGTTACACCCTATGCTTTAATCTGGAGTAACAGATGAATATCTGCCTTTGTTTCACGTGGCTGGCAGGACAGAGATTTGCAGTTTTTATATCTGAGAGCAGGAAATGTATGCAATTATTACAGGTCAGCAACACCTTCCTGTATGTTTTGGTTACAGACAGTACATTTTAAAAGGCAGTTTTTCCAGCTTGGCTAGCAGATAACACTGGTGCTTGGAATACATGTATTTCAAAGAAACCATTTATATGATTATAAAGAAACCATTTATATTATTATCTTTTTATAGATAATCATATAAAAATATCACCTATGCAAAATAACTAAATACATACATACATAAATATATAATTAACATAGCTGCCTAAAACATTATGTTAAATTGTAAATCTTGAATTTATTTATTCTACCTGGTCATACTAAAGTGTCTCCTATAAAGAGTATGCTAAAGTTAATTATATATCATACAGGAACACCTCCCACTGATGCTACATATTTACATAAAGACACTATAGACAGTATACTGTATACTCTGGTCTGCTATACTTACATCCATTTTCTGTGTTTAGTAGTGCACAACAAAAATCTTATCCTCATTTCAGATAGCAGCGAAGGGTGCATAAACATCTTACAGATACTTCTACTTTTTATATTGAAATCTTCTCTACAGTCACAGCAAGAGACACACATCATTAGCCAGGAAAGCAGCTAACTGTCTTGTTTGTCACATTCTGTCTTCCAGCCAGTACTAAATAAAATATCCACACATTTGGACATTAGAAAGATTTCTTTCAATAAATGAGTGATTAGACATTGGAATGGGCTGCCAGGGAGATGATGGAGTCACCATCCCTGGAGGTGTTTAAGAAAAGACTGGACTTGGCATTCATTTCCATGGTCTGGTTGGCATGGTATTGTTTGGTCATAGGTTGGACTGTATGATCTCAGAGGTGTTTTCCAACCTAACTGATACTGTGATTCAACCTGCAATACATTTTCTCATTAATTTCAGGTGCTACTTACATTGGGAATGACCTGGTGGCCGTGTGTTACTAACACTACTCTCAAAGGAAGAGTGGAAGTTGTGTATAGTTTCTTGTAAAATCTGTCTCTCTCGACCCTGTAAAAGAACAATAAAATAAAATAAGGTATTCTTAAATTTCTGTTTAAAAAATGAATTTACTAAGAGTACACAACAAATGTGTAAATATATGTGTCTATGTTCAGTATACTATCAGAAATAATAACAAATCCCTACCTTACAGACATACATAGAAAACCTTGCAGTAATCTTTTCCTGAAAGTACCAGACAACAATAGAAACATTTCTATTATTTTCTTCCTATCTTTATGGCATATCTTAGTACAGAACATCATCCACCTCCCCTAATTTTTAGCCTCATCACTACTGTTGATACTGACATAGAGAAAGTGTCTTTATGTTTTGTTTGTCTGAACTCCCACTATCAGAGAGGGAAAGGGCCTCAAATCTAAGAAAGCTGCTGAGAAGCATCAGCAAGCCTAATCAAAGATATGTTCCAGTATAAAATCCCTCTGGCAAGAGCACTGTTTACTGTACACCATTCTTAGCAAATTAGTTCATGTTGACATAAAATTCAAAGGCAATAAAAGTGTAAGAAATGAGAGAAAAGCTATTCACATAATCACAGAGGAATCAAAACCTTTTACGTTAACCAAAGGACACCCTTCCTCTTATACTGCATTTCCTAGCTGCACTAATGCAGCCAGATGATTCATTTTAGCACTGCTGAAATCAATATTCAGAAACTGCAAAATTGCTCATATTTACAAGTAGCTTGTTCACTGGACTAGGAAAGTTATTGAAAGAGAACAGGAAATGCCACAAAGGAAGACTTTTTACTAGTCAAATACATGAAACACTAAGTTTGGAAAAAATTATTTTAGCTTTTCTAACTAACATCTGTAACTGAATTTCAAAATGTATGTTGTATTAATTTTATAAGAAACTTTGAAATAATTTACTAGGTACAGTACTTTAAAATGTACCTTTCCTGCATTCAGTTCAGAAATAGCTGCCAAAATTTGCTGCCTTGATCCATCCGTTTTAATACCCAACTCTTTCAAATCACCATCAGTAAGTGTGAGGAAAGCTTCCATATCCACCTGCATTTAAAAAAAATAAAAAGAAATAAAAGAAAAAAGGTAAGACAAATTTACCTATGTGAAGATTCATTACTACAGGTTAAAAGTGGTTTCTTGGGTTTTATAATTGCATAGATTTAATGTAAATGTTGTGCTAAAAGAATTTTTAATGGATTACCAGCACCAAATGGTACACACTTTGTAAGGCTTCTAATCTACTGGTAACCATTCAACTAATCATGATAGTACATCTAAAATTTTAATGGATTTTTCTCATCAAGTTCTATTAATACAAAATATATAGTCTCCACAGAAATTCCTCTGCCTATAGTAGCAGCTACTTGAATAAACCTAAGGTTTCTCTCTTTTATTCACCCTTTCCCCCTAAGTATTTCTGGAACTTAGAATATTGTGTTTTACTTTTCTTGTGTCTTCTAAGGAAAGTCTAAGTTTTGTTCAGGTAACAGCTTTTATTATTACAACATATCCGTAAGGTTGTGATAAGAACAAACATCTGAAACTTTTCATATTGACAGAACCTTTCCACAATAAATATATTAATTTCTACACAATCCTCCGTTGCCTATCATGCAGAGGAACAATAATAACCCAATCTATTGTGATGAAGCTAAATTGTGTAGGCTTGTGCTGAATTTTGATCTCTGTAGCAATGTCAACTTAGTGCATGTCCATTCACGACCCTTTTCTTTGACCAAATAAACACACAGTATTTGTTAACATCTGATCCTGCCTTAAACATTATAATGAATTAATTTTACTTATTTTCAGCAACATTTCCTGTCATTGCATCCTTCAGCAACCTCTCAATGTCACAGCTCTCATCTATCACAATGCCTACGCTCCCCACTTTAATTCTCCTACTGCTTATGCACAGTGGATAAAGAAGATAAAGCAGCCATCTCAGTGACTCACACCCTGCTGCTTTCCTTCTGAAAATGAGGTTCCAGCTGTGATTCCAGGGATGATACAGTATGTCCTATGAACTGCTTAGCCATGTTGGATACAGACATATATAGAAAAAGCAGAGTGTAAGAACAGAGAGAAAAAAAACCCTATGTATAGAAAAGCTGTAGGTTAAGTGTAAAAAGCTCTGCTATTTACATTATTCTGGAGAATGCCACAAATACCACTTGGTCCCTGTTTCAAGGTTCTCTCTGCAACCAGGACTGGTTGTAGAACTTGATTCTGGATCACAAATCTGATGCAACGTCTTACATCCTACTTTCATTAAAACAGTAAAAGATCTTTTAGAAAAGACATACCTCCTGTTCCTCAAATATAGGCTGATATTTCTCAAGTGACAATTTTTTAAGGATGCCAGTCAGCTCATCTGTAATAACAGGAAAAAAAAAGTCAACTCCATAGATTAGAAAATATTGTAATGATCTCAGCATTATAAACTGAATATGTATATTTAAGCCTATATTTCCCATAGTCATTTATGGCAAGAAAAAACCAACCCCATTTATTCTCCATCAGAAATCGAAACATTGGCTTACTCTGTTCTCACCTACTTACATATACTGTAATTCCATCTAGTCTTACCTTGCTAGGATAAACACCGTTGTATTGCCCTTTCTACCTCATTAAAAGGATCTTACAAAACCAAACCAGTAAGGGCAACTAAGGCACTTCAATGCCTAAAATGCAGGTGCTTGGCCCCAGATGGCTGATCCAGATTGTGCAGGTTAGACAGCAGAACTCCTCAAGCAGGCAAGGAACTGAAAGGCATATTTCTATGTCATCATCCAGGAAGGCAAAGAATAGAGCAAGCAACCACACACCTGCTCATTCAAAACACTGATACAGCACAGGTCTTTCTGAACCCTCTTCTCTTTATGTGCCCAAATCCAGACACCTTGAACAAGGACAGCTGAAGTCCAGCTAAGATGAAAGCTGGACAGAATTTACGTTTTACAAGATCACCTTCCAAGGCTAAGAGCTCTGAATACTGTCTTTCTTCTAAAAGCCTAAGAAAATTAAATGTTGCAGGACCTGACAGTGACTCTTCCCACACATTTAAAATATGATTAGCTAAAGAGCATAAGTGCACTTTCAGAATAACCTGACATTACCTTTGTTAATTACACATTACGTGTCTCAAGTAACGTTTTCTTTTTATTACTTTGCTGTCACAAGTAACTAACTGTTTTTTCCCCTTAAGTACCTAAGTGGTCAGTTAAACTAAGTAGTCAGAGTCCAAATGAAGAACATGAATTATACATTATAAAACAAGACTATATTTAATATTCTGCATATAAACTCACTTTCATTTTAAAGACACTACTAGTCCATTACCAAATATACTTCACTTTCATTTATTTCACTTCTTTGTCTTTTGACTTTCCCTTTTCTTTCATCATCACTAGAAACATGAAAGAGAATCTCTTTCATGAATATTCTAAGCTTCTCCAAAGAGAAGTACCTTGAAATAAACACACCTCTGCGTACTATTCTGGAAGACTTCTTTACATAGGAGAGTCCACAGACAACTGAAGAGAAAAATTCTACTTAAGTCTTATTTTCTGCTAGGGTTTTGTTGGGTATTTTTTTACTTTAAATTCAACTAACTTGGTATGCCCAACATGATTCGCAAAAGTTGACACGTTCTCAGACTAAAAGCTTTAGTACCCTGACATTAATCCATGGGAAAATGCAATCAGTTTTAAAAATTATCATGGGAACTTCTCTATATTGTTTGATGAAGAATATCATCTTCTCGAAAGAAAAGAGAATTCTCATTGGATGACTCTTAGGTATATTGTTAATGGCCTTTTCTTATAGGTTGTTAGTTACCCTATTCATTTTTCATCATGCTGGCATGATTAGAACTGTAGGCCATGATATGGGAAGAAACTTTCAGGGTGTCTGAACTCTTATTGTCATAAACAACTATAACACCAAACACCTTTCAGACACACAAAGAATGCCTTCAGAGTAGGCCCTTCGTGTTTTCTCTTCCTCTATCCCTCTCCAGTTCCTGTACTGTTACTCTAAGGCTGAAAAATCCCTGAAACCTCTCAGTTTTACAACTCTTGTTTAACATGTTTGTCCTGTACTTTACCACGCCATTTGCTCTACACTTACCTTGTCTCCTTACCTCCATGCTAGGAGCAAGCTAAGGTTCTTGGAGCTCTTACTGCTTTTGCCATGTTACTCCTATTTAGCACCTCCTTTCATACTGTTCTATAGTAGTAAGGTAAGATTACCTTTTTCCAAGTTTTCAGAGCCCTCTTTTACTCTCACATGGTTTCGTCTTTCAAAATTCTCTACATCACTGGCTCTCAGAATAGTGCCAAGTTGTTGATGGTCCACCAAATGGTTGCCTAAAAAGAAACAAAGAACACCTCTGAATGCTTCTGCCTACTGCTCCTTCACAGTAACAGTCAATGTAAATCAATTTTCTTACTCATTTAAGTTCAATTGAAAGAAAAGTTAACACTACAGACCTTCTGTACTTACTCTTCTGATTACTGCTTGGCATATCAGCATTTGTACTGCTGCTGCTGAATAGAACATCAGTAAGAGAAGCCCTTGAATTAAAGGAGCACTTAACTACAAAAGCACTTAACTAGAAAAGCTTACAAACACAATGAACTCAGAGCTACTTGGGTTTCTGACAAACAACCTCTGCTATAAGGGAACTCACAGTATCCTGGCATTAGTGCACCTTCACAAAAGCGAGCTTCACTGAGTGAGATGAGAGCAGTTGATGGCTTGGGGAATTTGCTTCTTTATCCAGCAGTGAGCTCTCTTGCTTTTATGCATCTCTAAATCAGCAACACTTATGTTATCAAGATCTCATTATAAAATGGCACTAAACATGAAAGGATTTGCTCCAGAAGTCACTAGAATATGTTACAGTTAAGCCATAAGAAGAGGACAGAAAGAAGGTCAAGTATCACCTGTCTTCAGTGTCAAATGGAATTAGTGTTAATGGACAAAGCTGGCATAAGTGAAAATAAACCAAAATCAATAGAGACAATTTCAGAAAAAACAAAAATAGTACAAAGTGCCTCCATTCCTTATTTAAAAGGTTCTGAGTCATGTTATTTTCTTCACTTTTTTTGAGATATTTACAAGAGAAAACAAAGTTATTGATACCCTGTTTCCAATGCAGTAAATGACTTTAAAAAAGTTGTAATCTAGACCTAAAAGTCTAATTTAAAAGATACTAATCTTACAGGAAAAGTAATAACACCACAATTCCTTCTTAGGACTTTAAGTTAAAAAGAGGTTGTAATAAGGTTATTTTCACGATTCAGAAAAATAAATGCAACTACAGCTCTTAACTTCATGTAGCTATGACTTGCTATGGATGAAAAATATATCTCTGTAGTGATGTGCTTCTCTGCATTTACTAATAAAAAAAAACTAGTGTGGAGAAAGTGCCTTTTGTACCCTCAGCAAAAGGTGGAAAACAGGACTTAAGCCATGAAGGGGGAAAATGTGGCCGCTTAAGAGTGGCCAACCTATATGCTAGCTTTGAGGTGATAGCAGTCTCTCTGTAAATGGAAAGAATCACATGTTTTGGGAGAGAAGAAGGCAGTTAGTGCAGGAGCATCAATCTCACTGTATGAAACACCACAATATATTTTCTAGAAAGAAGGGAGACCTCACTCTCATGAAGATACACACTAGTCCAGGGCAGTTATAGCTTTAAACACACAGTATTCCCAATGAATTAATCTGCAATTGCAGTGAGCTACTCACCATCCTCTGTAATAGTACCACTGCTGGAGCCATTGCTCTTGGCGTGTCTGTGAGAAGAAGAGACAGAAGACTCTGCGTTTTGGACCTTTGGAGATGGGGAAGGTGATGGAGAAGGTGTGAGGGTTGGTGATGTGCTTTTAGATGTAGATGAAGTCCCAGATGGAGGTCTTTTGTTCATCTCCAGTTTTTGCTGCAGTTAATGATACATAATCATTTGAGTTAAAGAATAATCACAAAAATGTTTACTTTTACATGATGCTTCAGCATTACTTAAGTTGTGTATCATTTCTGAGAGCACGTAGTCACAACCAGAAGTTTCTGCTTGGCCTTTCTTAATATAGAAACTTTCTGCTTTCTATATTAAAATAATAGAAGCAATAGTGATTTTATTCCAGATTAAAGTCTCTCTCCTCAAAATTATAAAGAAAATACATTTATTAATGCTGTAATTTTGTAACAAGAAAATTATTTCTTGTGAAGAAATACTGCCCACAAGCACTACAATTTTTCTTTTTCTGAAAGGACTATCTTGCTTTAAGTATAGGTGGCACTTATGCACCACACAGTCTCTCACTCACCTCCCCACCTACCTTGGAATGTGCAGAAGCAGAAGTAAAACTGGCATTAGAAATAAAAACAGTTTAATAGCAGAAACAAAGTAAATTACTTTGACTTGAAAATAGGGATTTTCATTCATAGATTTAAGTCTCAATTAAAGATTTTCAAAACATATGAGATGCTAATTTAAAGTAGCACTTCATGCTGGATTAACCAGAAACATGTAGCAAGCACAAATTCAATTCTGAGTGCATTAAACCCCTTGCTGAACTGGAATGGAAGTTTCCAGCCAAACCTCAAATTTATTATTACCTAACAGGACTCAAGTGATTTATTAATAAATTAGCAAATATTTAATATATTTGTAGCCATGGAAAACAGGAAAATACATGAGTTAAAAATGGGTAGTAGAATATATATATTTGTACACATATCAACAGACTTTCCCAAAAACCATCAATGCACCTCATTTCCTAAATTCTTTGATCTACATAAACATTTTGATGTCTGCACTGTATGACCCAAAAAGAAAGTGATTTTTTACTGGATTCCTGAATTCAGAGTTTAAATACCATTTGTCACTCAGGCTACTACAACAAACTGATAAAAAAATTGATCCAGGTAACAATGCAAGAAATGAGAATGACAGTGGTTCTTGTCTTTACAATTTTGCTTCTGTGCTGTGGCATAAATGGAACGTTTCTAGTTAATGAAAAAGATGCAGTTTTAAAAGATAAAACTCATTTGAGTGGTAACATTCTTCAATTACTCTACCCTATGTCAGAATGTAATACTTACTTAGCCCTGCACTGAATTGACTGGAAGTAATGTAGTATGATACAAACTTGAGAGCTCCTTGAAGAGCATCATGAACTCATTTCAACTTTCTGTCCCAAATTTCCATCTAAATTGTTATTGGTCATTTGTGTTGCAGAATGGTCATCCCTCCCTGGCACACTGTCTGCATTTATTTAAATTACATCATCCTGTAACATGTTATTCATTTTTTTCTTTTCTTTAAAGCTTGCACCATCTCACCCCTCATGGGGAAGTTTTGCAAAATTGATCTGTGTAATATTACTGAATTTTTAGATCAGCTATTTCCAAGTTTAGACAGCATGATCCTAATAAGAGAACACAAGCCATTCCTCAATGGATATAGACATTACATTTCCACCATTTACATTGCTGATTACAATAACACACTGCTAGCCTTAGCAGCCAGTGTGGATCCATATTTGACTGCATTCTCCCACCAGGAATCGCCAAAAATCACCTCAGTTGTGTGATACATTAATATCTATAGTGAGATCCACACTATGACATGTTTTGTTACTGGTGGATAGAAGGAAACTTGTCCAGACATCTAAATCAAGAGCACTGAAAAAGCTGTTGGCTTTCCAAAACAGTGGCATAAATGTTGTTTAAAAATCTTTTCAACAGTACAAAGAACAGCCTTTCCAGAAGATGATCTGCAGCACATTACACTTCACTACTCTTTTATCCCCTAATGTATCCCACTGTGAGTGGAAACAGTAGATAAACTTCTTAGTGGCAGCATTGTTGCAACAAAAGGTCACAGAATCTGCAGCCCAAAGCTCACAGGCACAGGTATTATCTCTTGGTGGGATGATCAATATAACTGGAGAAAAATTAGACTTTTGGGGGGCACACAAGGAGCTCTTTGGAAATTATTTCCAAGTTAAAAACAAGCTGAGAGGACATGCTGAGAGTTTAATTAAAACATACTGGCCAGACCACCTCTGAAAGGAAAAGCATTTGGTAGCTGCTCTGCAGACAAGACTTTAATGAGGGAAGAGGATGATAAAGGGGTTTTGTCTACAGGAAAAAGAGATGGATCATTTATAACTCAGGGAGCAATTACACAGGATAGAAAGGGAGGAAAGACTACCATATGCCAAAAAATTGGTATAAATCCTCAGACTCTGGTGGTCCAGCTGAGTTAGAAATTTTAGCTCCCAATCTCATCTTTTAAAAGCAACCAGTAGCTCCTCCAGAATCAGGTCTGACGTATCAGAGACAAGGTGACTATTCATGGAAACTGTTTCAGCACTGGTAGTTGCACCTTTTCTTTTTCTGATTTTTGTCATCCAGAAATTTCCATGTAATTTCTGAACAACTTTGCAATTTCATTTATCATTTTTATGTACGGATTAAATATAAATATCGTGTACTGTTGCTATATGAGACATCACAGAATGAGACTGCAAAAGTATTAATTTTATACTCTGGTCATTTTTGTTTCCTAAAGTAAAATTTGAAGAATCTCACTGAAAGATGCAAACAAAGCAAAACAAAACAAGCTGTTTGGAGATTACATAAGCAAAAGTTGTAGAAATCTTGCTCACATATTCTAACATTTCCAGAATATCACGCATTTAGAACATAAACTCCAAATTTTGTGTTTTCCTTCTCTTGCTCTCTGAAATGCAATGTTTCTCTATGTAAATAAACCCATCAATTTCACAATAGTGTGTCACATCTTCTGTTATGATGCTGCTTTCTAGTTTGTGTCTCTGCAGATATTGAAGATTTAAAATCTTAACCATCAAAAATGTACAAAGCAGTTAAGAACTTCAAATATGTGCGCAAAAATGTGCAGGTCATGAGAGCAAAGCTATTCCAGGGAATTGATAGGTGAGTCAGCACAGACAGTATGGCCTCAGGAGCAAAATCTGACTTTGGTGATGACCTACTGTTTAAAAATAACACCAGTGGAGCAGACTGGTAATGTGCATATTGCTGTGGTCACCATATCCTGGTACAAATTATGTCATACTCTGCATTCAGGTTGAGCCTTTGAAGGGAAAATAGCTGGAGAAACCGACTATACCACTTCAGGGTAAAATCCAGGAATAACTAACATAAAACACTATATCTGGTCCATAGAAAGAAATAATGAGAAACCGTAATAGTGCAGATCAACCCAAACATCAAGCACTACATTTTTTTTTTAACAGAGTGAAATTAATAATAAAGTAAAATCATGTTTTATTATTAGGTTTCATCTTCTGTGGACTTGCACTTAAAAGTAAGGTTTGTAGAGCTGAAAAGCTTCCACTAACATAACAAGTGTCCATTCTTTTTTTGGTTGTGCACCAGACACCCATGACTGAGATATGACCTATTTGGAGTGCAAAATTTTATATTTCCCATTACCTTTACAACATTTCCATTGCCAACAATCTGAGCACACTGCAAATCCGACACAGTAGATGAAGGAGTTGACTGGACTGGACTGTGCTGTTGGCTGGGTTTCTGTTCAGGTAAGCCTGCTGCTTTTCTTCTTTGGGCTGCAATCTGAGACAAAACATTATCTGCGCTGCCACCTAGAACAAAAAATAGAATAAACCCAGTAAAGGAAATCATAATTTTGAAATGTTTGTTAACTCTCAAACATTCACTTTCATTTAAAAACTGACTGGATGAAGGATGAGACAATTGCAAGATCTCTCCAGCAGCTTCCAGAATAAAGAACAGAAATCAGTAGCAGAAGAGGAAAGCCAGCCCTGTCTATACACACACAGAGCTGACTTTCATACCTTTGGACAGTTTTCATAAGCCACTTCACCATATTGTCTTCAACTACTAGGTACAATGCGTGCAGCTTTGGTTTTAATTGAAACCTGTTTTTTATTTCAAACAAAAAGTAAGCAACAGGCATAGGAGTCATCTCCATGACATGCATGGTGCAATGAACCAGCATCCACCTGATCCACCACGGAAAAATCCAGTAAAATCTGCCTGAGATGGGCTGACCACTGAGAGTTCTGTAACATACGTGAGGCTCTTCTTCCCTTATGTAGGTATTTGAAATCCAATCCTCTGTCCACTAAATTTACAGAAGTTTTGCTTCTACAATGGTAGGAGCACTCAGAAAAGGTTTAGTATCTTCTACCATCATCACAAACACTAATTTTTTAACTGAATCACATAGAACTTACTTTCTTATTAAAAATGGTACCTGATCTGTTATGCAGTTCTCCTCCATGCCTGTTAATTCCTGCAATGTTATTAGATCCACCAGAAGAATGGGGAGAATGGTTGAAGTTATTGGAATTTGAAGGAGATGCTGGTCTTCTTGCAAATGTTGGCAATTTGACTGGTCTAGTAACTTTGCTAACAGATGTCTGGAAAACAAAATGAAAAATAACTTGGTCTTTCTTGATTGAGAAAAATAAAGAGCAAACTTCAACTACTATTTTCTTTATCCCAAGTTCTGAAACTTGCACTGAAGAACAAAGGGGATATCAGAAAGAATCTTATTCTACATATACATATATACTGAATATATACCTATATAAATATATATATACTGAATACATTTATTCGATGGAATAAATTACATCACATTAAGCCATTAATTCTTCTTAATCTTTGATAATCTTTGACCAACAAAAATGAGCATATATGATGCACCTGAGATATGATATACACAGTATTATGAGCAGTAGGGAAGAAAAAAAAACTATCACATGTGAAATTTCTTTCCTGCAGAATCCTGGCTTTGTCTCTCCCATCTTACAAAACAGCTACCACCTTCCCATCCATCATATATTTGTTTCTTACTAACTAAGCTGCAAGAAGTGATATAAACTTTCTCTCCACCAGCTGCATTTCTATATTCCCTGCAATATAAACAGCCAGCTGCACCACTTTATTGAGTTGTATTAAGGGAGGCACTACTGATCCAGCTATACACTACCCAAATCCTCAACCACATTCTCCTTAATTTCTTTTGCTTTTACACAATTAGCCACTGCCAGCCACTTGCAATATGACCTTTTGCAGCTCAGCTTTTTAACATTTCTTATTCTGTTGCTCAAATCACTTCTTCCATCTCTGACTTACTTTTTCTCTCCTTCCTATACCTTCAGCAAGACCCTTCATTCCTCACAGAAGGACTGATGGCTAGTCCTCTCCTACTCTCCCTGTTCCTCACATTATACACATGCCAGTTATCCAGCTATGTTATTACAACCATCTTTTTTGGGATGATAAACACATACCTTCCTGTTATGTCACTTTCCTTATTCTGCCTTATTCCACCTAAATCACCTCTACTGGTATTAGGCTAGCTATAAAAAAGGAAAGAGGAAAAAAATTCCTCCTAAATGTCTTCATTGTTCCATGTCTAGAACTGACACTGAAACACCGGTCCAGTTCTGGACTGGTCTTCTCTACATCTAGTTATTACAGTCTACAGTTAGGGGAGGAGGCACTTCTCCTTTTTCTCCAGCTATGAAAGAGAAGTCTGTCAAGGTTGTTTTACTTCCTATCTCAAGATTTCCTATCTCAAACCACCTATTTTTCTCTTGGTTTGCATTTTGACTGAAAACAGTTAGAATCAGGCAAGCTCCTTCTATAAAAAACCAGAAACAATCAAGACTTTTTCCAGTTTTACAGTACTTCCAATTTAAAGGTGTGTGCCTTCAAGTCCACTTGATGACTACTTGCTACAATTTTATCTATTGCTAATCTTTCAGAATATTATCTGTATATTGGTCTTACTGATATTTCTTCCCTCCTGCTCGGTTACTAAAAATTGAGCAATTTTTATTCTTTTCTACTGTCCCTGGTCTTTTTTTCAAATCAGGGCAGTTTCTACCACACTGTTGGTGGTTCTGGTTAACAGCAAAAAAAAACCAAAAAAACCAACCATAAAAACCAAACCCCCCCAAAAAAACAAACAAACAAAAAAACCCAAACAAAATCAAAAACCCCCCAAAACCAAACCAAAGTTGTTGCACTTCCTACAGAACTTTTGTTTCATTATGCTCCTTCCATACAGATGGGCACTCTTCCTAAGCAGCACTGCTTAAATGGACAAGCCATTGCTGAAACAGTGGATTAAAAGAAATTTCTAATCAGAAACAGAGTGGCTCGCCAGTCAACAAGGCCAAGGCATAACACAGTATTTTCATACACATTTAGTTTGCTTACTATATCAGAATTCCCACTGCTGTTAAAATCGTGCTTGACTGCTCTCTGTGGCCAGGCAGTTCTCATCTGTTCAGCTTTGCCATCCTTGCTGAGTCGGGTTCGGTCAGAATTCCAAAGCTCAAAGCTTGAGGGTGGTAAGAAAGGTGGTATCACTGCTTTCAGCTTATCACTGGGCAGCCTGGTAAATGGAGCACTACTCCTCAGCTGACAAAGGGGAACAAAGAAGAGGGTGGGGGAAGAGTCACTTCTTAAGAAAGTTTACTGGGACCTGGTGATGTAGCTTCAAAATATTAAGTTAAGCAAAAAGATGAAAACTCATTTAAAAAGAACAGAAATGAGACAGAAAAGTACTATTTGAGAAGTACAACACATAATAACAATAGAGAAATCAATGAACATCATGGCACCCCTCAGTATTAGGCTCATTCATTTGATGTAATGAATATAGCTCATTAAGTGGCAGAAAAATGTCTCTTCCTTCACTGGGCTAAATATTGCTCAAGTTGACTTTCACAAGAATAACTATGAATTTCCAAAGAAATAAAAATGTAGTCCTGAATACAGGATGACTGTAAACAGTGAGCAACTGCATGTTCCTGCTGTATGTGTACTGCAGAAAGAGACAAAAACACCTCAACTGATTTTGCTCCCTGGAGTTCTGTCAGTCAGTCATATCAAAAGTTTTTACAAAAGAACTCGAACTTCTTACAAAAGAACATAAAGATAATAACCAGCCGAATTTAATGACATCACCAGGGAGTAAGCTGCAGGGGAATATAAAGCTACAGCATAACAAAAGAAGAAACAGAGTAACACAAATACACCTCCCAAACTAAATATTTCATGGTTGCCTCTACTAGCAATTTCACATCTCCATTGTACCATGTTCCATCCATGTTTTCCTCACTTCATACTACTTGTCAGCAACTAAGCAGCTGCTCCATCTATTTTACTATTTCATTGCTGATCAAGCAAAGGTATGGGTAATTCTTGAAAGAGGTCAGTACAGCTTCCATATCACACTACTTTTAGTACTTTCTAGTCTAAGAACTACTGGTACATCAAAGCCAATCAGTTCATGTCTAGTGACTACAAACAAGCTCTTTTTCTAGAAGTGACTTGGACAGGAGGCAAAAAACTGTAAAAATTATGGAAGCTACATGACCCTCTGAATTAGGCTGAAACACCAAAAACACTGTAACATACCATAGTTTTCAATAATTCATCGTCCTTTTCTCCTTTCACAGTGTTTGCACCTGAAAAATACATAAATTATGTTTTGTTGTTTAAATGTTTCTACTTCTGTTTCTAAGGCTAGCTCATTGTTTTTAAACAATCAACAGCTTAACCCTCAGTACACACATAGTATGAGGATTTCCAGTGACACTCTCATGCACCTCAGCTAAAGTTAAGCCAAGTCTTACTTTGCATTGCAGACAGTGGGGGATTTTTATGGAAGATATTAACACTTTTCAGTGACCGGTCTTAATTTATTGGTGTTTACTAAAGAACAGTAACATGGTTAGATTAGTATTTTCCTGCTTAAATGCTACTGCATTCAGCATAATCAACAATGAGTACAAAAATCTCTCTTTCTATAGACTACAAATACATTACATTTTTTCACTTATATTAAGCTAAAGCAGAACTAAACCAATAAATCAGAAATAATATCATCCTGACCACCCCACAAGAACTCATTTCCCACAAGACAACTCTGCTTTTACCACTAGCTTTGTTATTTGTGTTCCAAGCTGCAGCAGCATCAAGGTTTCCAGACATGTCTGTATCACTCTGTGAGGCTACTTTTATAGTGGAATTTAATGATGGTTCAGTCTCATCCGGAAAAGGCACAAACTGATTAGAAGGAAATCCATGGCGCAATGTCTGAGTCAACTTCAGCTTGCGGAATCGATTGGACATCCTGCTCCACCAGGACTAGATTGAAAAGAAGACACAACAATTTAATTCCAACTAAAAGGAAAAAGGAAAAGAGATGTATAATTAAGCAATCCTTACAGAAGCAATAATTTCACCAAGGAGTTTTTGAAATAAGCTAAAAAGCAATGTTAAAGTGGTTTGCAGTTACCAATAGAATCCTTCAGTGTAGTTTGCATGTGTAATAATTATCTCTTCCCTTATTTTTCACCTGGAAAATATTTTAAAATGTTTTTCCACAGTATCTGGAAGGCCAAAGTAGATAGAAATATTAGGGCAATTTGAATAGGGAATTTTTGCAGCTACATAGAAAATACTTAATTTTCCCATTAACTTCCAATTTCACCATCAATTTTTACTCTCTCTGGAATCAAGGAATGGCATCTCTATTTTATGCTTTTTAGAGGTGTGCATATGAGTTTATGTTATCTGCATCAAAGCTTCTTGCCAAGATTTTCAAAACCAGTGACAAACTGTAAGAGTTCTGATAGTATTTCTGTCAAACTAAAGATCCACAATCCATACAGTGCTGCTATATAGATAATTTAACCAGACTGGGAAGACTATAAACTGAAAAAGAGAAGGCAAGGAAACAGCAGCTGTGAAAACAACTTAAACCTTAGGACTATGTACCTATAACCTCCATCCATACACATATCACATATATGGAAACTGTTATGCAAAAGGACTTTGCTCAAAATAAAATTTATTCAAATATTCACATTTTTACAGACAGTGCAAGTTGCTTCAAATCTTCAGTAAGATAATTTCTAGACTATACAGAACCTATGCCATTTGTACCAAAAATTATGTAGCTTCTAGGTAAATCAGATTGTAAGTACCTTCTGATTATTTATTAAGTTTCTCCTTCTCTTTCTGGAACACTTTTTTAAAAAACTAATGTTAAAGTAACAAAACTTCATCAGAGTGGCTTTAAGTGATAGCAAATCCAGGTAACAACCATCATATTCTTCTCTCTTCTTGGCATTTTATATTTTTCAACTACTCACGGATACATGTCTTTGCAACTTTTTTATACTTATCTTCTACATATTAATCCTTGTAGCAGAAGACCATTAAAAATATTTTAAATCTGCACAGAGCATTAGTAATGTATAGAGTTCTCAGACCTCTGTATCTCTTTCGTGTCACAACTAATAAAGATTTCCATTACTTTCAGCAACAAAGATCTGATGAAAAAAGGCAAGAGAGACAAATAGCTCTGAGAAAGCAATAAAACCCACAGTTCAGCATTTATTCACCTTCCAAAAGGAACTGGAAGTTCATCTAATTTTAACATAGACTGCAATGAGTTTACAAAAGAGAGTGCTTGCACTTCTTGGTTTTGGTCACTGAAGCTACCTTGCTTTTTGTAAGAAAGATCAGTTCTAATTGCCCATCATCTCTGTTACTCCTACCCACAGTGCTTCTGCTGCCCAAATATACACTCACACCACAAACTACCCCAAAACAGAGTAAATACAGCCACTATGTTACCAGACAAAAACCACTGCTCTCTGGCAAGAAAGTAATGGCACTGGAGAGGTTCACCTTGTCTTCTGGTGTTCACAGTATGATGGTCTGATCTCTGGAGTTTTTAGTTTGCTGTTGTAGGAGTTTGCAGCCTCTCCATATATCCCTACCACATCACACATGTACAGAAGCTGTAATAAAGGGTTTTAAATAGACTGAGGAATTCAAGTAACAAAAATTCATTCCTGGTTAAAAATAGTATCTATAAAAAGGCTGAAATCTAGCAGCAGTGGGAGAAGGCAACAGTATCAAAGAACTAGAAAAATGGTGTTTCCATTTTAGAAATACCTTACACATTTGTAAAAATGCTAGGAATAAAAGATTAAGGGGGAGAACTGGCAATCTCTGCCCTCAAACAATTTTAATCTAGAGAAGAAACTGAATGTGGTAATTCACACTGCTCTAATACTGACATTGAGAGTGTAATTCACTGAAGAAGAACTGGCAAGAAGAAAAAAAAGGAAATAAAATTTTTGCATATGGAAAAGGGATAACTTTGGTTTTGAGGCTGTTGGGAGGAAAGGGTTAAAATCAAATAAGAGGAGGGAAGGGTTCCAGCTCAAAGTGACCTTTCAGCTGGGAATTCAAAAAATGTAGGTGTGGAAAACTCCATTTATTATGCCTAGTGTCATTTATCCTCTGCCTGACTGGAGAAGTAGAATTTCTGGGTAGAGGTAACACACTCTCACAGCCACACCTGAAGCCCTTACTTATAGGATGAATTTAGCCTACTGGAGCCTGGGTCCCTGTGTGTCTCTGGCACCCAGCCTTGTGGTTCAGGTAACAAAATAAATCTTCTCCTTGCATTTCAGCTGTGGCTTGATGGTTGCCTTGGTTACCCACCCGTGTTGATTCACACAGAGGCCACAAAATGGTAAGAAACAAAGCAGTTAACAGTTCTCGTGTGATAGAGGTGAAGAATGAGATCGTGAATATCCACTATGTTATCAGCAAGTAAAGGAACAGGGGCCAATATTGCACACAAATTAAAAATAAGAGAAACACATCGCAAAATAAAAAGTCTACTAGTTAATGACAAAAGTGCTCAAAGAAAAGGTGAGACTGAAAAGCATTTATTTTTTTAAACTTCATAAGCAGCCTACCTGTGATCAGGTATTTTAGTATGAGTACCATTAACAGGAGGAAGACAGGAATATATGTGCATTTGCTTAACAGAGTAAGAGTATTTAAATGAGCTTACACAAATTAGAACTAGACAATATTGATTAAAATTACCCCAGATCAATTATAGGCAACATGACCTCTGAATAAATATTGATTATCTTCACTAAAAAGTATGGAAGAAGTTACAGAAATCAGGCAAAAGGCAAATATATGATCACTGAAAAGGGAAAATCTGAAAATTTACTGATCAAAATGCTTACCATGAAAAAGCATAACTGAAAAAACTTCATATGTCATCACAGCTCATAAGACACAGCCAGCAGAGATTTGTTGAAAATAAACTCTACCAAATGAATCTCTTTTCGACAAAATAACCAGTCAAGTGAGCAGAAGGGATGAAAAGCTGGAATGCAGCTTGACTTTATTAAAGCTTTTATTGCTATTTCATGTAGCATTCATCAAACAATTGAGAAAAATAGGGTTCAAGTAAAATTAATAAAGGGAAAAGACCACAGCCAAAAAAGGAGACAAATTGTAAATTATTTGATCTCAAATTGGGAGATCATATTTGTGCAATAGGTTTGGGAATGCTCACTAACAACTGCAACAATGAAACACAACATATTTTTCTGTAGTCTAAGGAAGACATCCATCTAGACAGTTTTGTAAGCACCTCTAACACTCTAAATTTAAACACTGCCAAACTGACATTTTTCAGTGGAGGTTCAAGCTGGCATGCAAGAAGAAATCAAGTGTACTAATGTAGGAAAAAAAGCAAGGAAATAAGCAAGTGTACATAAGAAAAAAAATCAATCACAACATAGCAGAAACTCAGTATAGATGCACAGTGTTACTGCTGCAAAAAAAAAAGTGAATTTCACTGGTAACAGGAAACACGTCTGTGATGGAGTTTTTGTATGCCACTAAGTGATACTGTGACCCTGGTCAGAATCTCACCACTCATTTTAGAATCCTCCTCTTGACAGATAACATACAAACTAGAAACAGTCAGAAGTTTAGGAATCAAAACATAAAAACAAGGAAATTTGCATTAATCAATTTTGTTTAGACTAGAAAAAAAAGATTGAATATGATAGTTCTCTAAGTATTTATACAGTTCTTACAAAAATTAAGGTGACCACTGAACAAGACTCAATCAATTTAATGGGCAACAAAAGAAAAAATGCAGGCTGAGAAAAATTCGGACCCAAAAAAGAACCAAGCAGTGCAACTGGGTGCTGATGGAGAAACCATGGGATCAGGGGATCTTCTTCACCACAGTGAAAGAAAAGCGAACTGAATATCTGTCAAAGATGCTCTTGGTACATTTATTTTGTCTCCTGATGCTAAGGCAAGTGAGCCTCATGAATTCCCTCTCACTCTCACATTTCCATGATCCTGCAGACCCCACACTCAGTCATTCGCAGTGATTTAGACAAAAAAATGCTGTACTGGTCAAATTGCCATAAATATCTTTTGTTTACAGTTCCAGCTCACCACAGAGCAGTTGTCCACACAGAAACACGGTTGCTACAAATCCCAGGAGAGGCCCCCTCACCAGAGCCCTCTCTTGACATGCTGGCCCAAAGAGACATGACTGTTATGACATTGCCCTCCAGCCACAAAATCTGAAAATACCATTTTTACCCTTTTGGAGTATTTGTAAGAAGAGTAAGACAGGTAAGATACTCATGGTCAGACAGGCTGATTAGTAAAGCATTAAGAAGTGAGGGAAGAATGGATAACATAAGCTTATGGGTTGTATTTTTAATAGAACTATACAGAATACAATTTCTGCTGAAAAAAAAAGTTTGATAATGACTAGTAAGCACTGTAATACTCTAGCTTTGAGGCCAAATACTTAAATATTCCAGAATATTAAATTTGTGTCAATAATTGTGTCTATCCTTCCCCTATCCTTATCACTGGCAAATAGTCAGGTTTTTTTTTTTCACCTAACAATCTTTTATGACCCTAATTCAAGCCTTTGTGTCATAACACTGTAAGGGTTGCAATCCAATCCATTGTTGATCTGTATTCCATAGAGCCAAAATCTATTCTGACAATTTCCCATCTAAGTAAAATAGCTCTGTTTAAATTGACAATGAAGTTGTATCATATTGAATGATAGTATAATCATATGAAAACAATGTTCCTTCATAGTTAAAATGACAAAACAGATTTGAGCTGAAGCAGAACTTTAAATGGTCTTTAAAATTCATGTCAAAAATAGCCTGGAAATTAATATACTTTTTTCAAGATTATGGTAATATTTATACTTAAGGGATGACATCATGGACTCCAGAAAATTCAGAGGTACACTACACATACACCATAATTAAAGATTATTCACTAAATAAACTGATGCCCCAAAACAGGCAACAACAATGGCAACAACAACAAAACTAACACTTCTTCCTTCTCTTTTGCAGTCAATGAAAGTTGGAATATCTTTGTTTAGTTGGCATGCACTTATTCTGACTCCATGTTGTTTCCCATCAGTTTTGAGTTAAGGATACAGCATACCAGATGACATGTAAGCTTGAAGTGCACACTCCTCCACAGCTCTTCATATTAAAATCTCTGCTATGATATTTTTAATTTTCAATGTCAATAGCCTGCTACCATTTATGGCTATGAAGAAGTCTACCCTCTGTCCAGATTTAAAAGCAAGATCATAATGGAAATTGAGTTCCAAACTTATGATCATGGTACCTTCCACTTAATCATGAGATCTATTTGTGGGCACTGAAATGCTTCAATGCAAATGCTTCAATGCCTTGCTACCTGATGAAGTTGAATACGTGCTACACTCCACAAAACCAGAACACACTGTCAACAAAGAATTCAGAAATAACACACAACTCCCCAGCAAACCCAGTTACATATTAGATCCAAAATGCTTCTTAGCAATTGTTTTTTCTGATTATACATTACAGGAATTAATGAGTTTTTATCAAGAATGAATATATTTACCTTTAGGCCTCCTTTGTCATCTGGCAAGATTGGGACATTTAAGGATTGCCTACTTCTGGAACGAGGCAGAGATGATCTGTTGTTCACTTTGTTCTTGTCTTTATCTACTTGCATGCATGCTGATGCCAGTAACCTTACAAGCTCTGTATCTAAAAGGAAGCAAATTAAGATAATGTTTGGCCTGTTTTGCTTTCCCAAATTACAACCAATACACTGACATTTTCCCTGTAACTCACATATAAGTAGCAACTGATCTACCTCTCACACACAAAGCAGATGGACCCCCAAAACTTTCTTTCTTGACCTATTTTCCCGTGTCTTCTCCCCACAATTTGGGCTGCAGTCTTAGCATCTCTCTAAAGGTATTTATCAATATAAATAAGCATGCTACTCAGCTGGAATCAGTCATGTGTGACCAAGTGAACTGCCCACTCTCACACTTTGTACAAGTTAAGAACAATACTGAGACGCTCCCTTTTCTCACCTGGCACAGAAGAGAGTAGAGAAAAATGAATATTCTTTCTTCAAGCATAGGTTGCAGAAAAGAAGTTCGAAAGTAAATCCCAAAGAAAAAGAAGATGTTCAGCCTGGACAATGAAGGGACTGAAAAAAATGGTAAGAAAAAAGATGGACAAAAAAGAAGTAAGAAAAAAAGTAAGAGGATGAAAAAAGAACAAGCATGACAGGAGACAGGAAAGCAAAAAAAAAAAAAAATTCTGTAAATCTGCATTTTGTACAGGAGCTAGGTAGGATTTTCAGAAAGGCAGAGAGAACTGAACAAGAGAGAAAGAAGTAGTGAGACAAACTATTCTGTCACAGAAGTTAGTTCTAAAATAATTCTCTGTATTTACTGTCTAGAATGTTGTACTATTAGTGATCTACCTTTACCATAGAAAACAATCTGCTAGTAACCATGACCACCATAAGGTATAAATTCAGAGACTTCATTAGCAGTCATGGGTTTTGGCTTCAGAAAAAATCAATTCAGGTACCAAGGAAGGTTAACAGTAACAAATTATATATGTAAAACAAAATGCAACAAAAACTAAATTTGTTTCATTCAAGGCCTCCCCAAAGCATGCTGTCTTGTCCTACAGCACTCCCACACAAACAACTGGAACCCTGAGGTGTGATTTATTCTCAGCCTGTACAGAACTAGCTGGAGGTTCAGTCAGGAGTTCCCTAGTTCTGTTCCTACTGTGCTCTCTCTGTCCTGTCCCTTGGCTGCTCTTTGTCAAGGGGCAATTTCTAGCTCCAGCTCATAGCTCTGTGTTAATGACACTTCAGAATACCAGTGCCCCCACAATCAAATGCCACACAGCTGGCTCTGGTGACACAAACAGAACAGTTTTCAAGCATCTTCAGAACCAAAAGCAAGAGGAATGCACAAAATCTGTTATCCCATAAACGTACACACTCATCTAACCAATTAACTCAAACCCCACCACTTTCAGACAGTGTCCTTTCTTGCTCCAGTCTGGCCTAGACATGAGAGGATACTTCCTAGCAACTGCAATGTATTTTCTGGATTGGAAGGAATGTATATTTGTTTATATTGTACATTTCTCCACAGCATTTTGAAATAGCATACCTGGATCATTCAGCAGCATTATCAGGTCAAACGCTGTGTATCCATTTTTCGCACGAAGGTTAACATCAGCTCCTTGATTTAACAAGTACTTAACAACATTTTTGTTTCTTTAAGGGAAGAAAAAAAGGCATTGATCACATTAAAGAACAAGTAAATGAAGAAAGAAGCTCCCAATATTCCATTTGCAACTTTTTATAACATTGTTCCTGAATCAGAGATCAGTTTTACACATTCTACAGATAACTTAGTGTAAAATTTGTTCACAAGCTCTTCAAAAGCTCCCACAAATCCTTTGTCAGTCACGTTTTTACTCAGTACGACTTACATTAATCAACATGCAGAAAGTTAGCCTTAAAAGCACCATTTGAATATCATTAAAAGCACCATTTGAATATCAGCTTCCTAAGCTGATCCTTTGGAAGTGACTGCAATATGTTGCTAAACACCTTTCCAATGAAAGCCATTAATGCCTAGAGCAGAAAAGCAGATGGAACGACAAAGGACATTTCAGTAGTCATCACATGCCATCATTAATACTTCAATGCAACCTCTTTTTCACAACTTGCACAGTAAGAAATTGCATACAGAAAAGCCAAATTGACTGAAGATAACTGATAAACTTCAAACAGTACTTCACCTAATTACAGCTATAAATTTTATAATTGAGAGGGCACATTATCACTTCCCTGAGGTGTTTAAAATGCAAAAACAATCAGCATTAAATGTCAACCAACACAAACACCTCCAACAAAAGCTCCTCAAAGCTAGCTGCATAAAAGACACTCACCATCCTGCTCTATTAGCCCCTCTCCCCTCTGATACACCTGAGTAAATAAGCAGGACTAGCCTTGTGAGTTAAAAAAAATACTTCAATTCAACCTATGAAATAACTGAACAGAAAACAAAGCTAGGGAAAATATAATTAATATTAAAACTCTTTAACAGTGACTGACCTTGTATAAAATCAAACTCTGACATGCATCAGCAACACAGAAAAAACATTCTCAAGCACCAACAGGTAACTGCAAATTCTAATAATGAAGCTGAAAAATGGATCTCAACATCTCCACTTCAGAGCATCATTTCTTATTCAGATTACATGTCCACTCCTGAAATCACTCCACACAAAATCAACCTGAAATGGAGGATGACTGTTACTCCTCTCTTCTAACAAAAATTCTGCTTATCCTCACCACAGCTCCTCTGTGTATTTCCTATTACTTTCCTACTCTTCTTTAGAACTATCATCCCTCCATCCTGCTCTCCAGTCCTGCACCTTGTGAGCACACAGAGACACCACTTTTTAGTGCCTCTGGCTCAGAGAGACCTGGCCCGCTCCCTCCTTCAAACCCTTCACACTACTGGTGGTCCTGAGAAAGGGTTAGCTGAGGTTCTGTGGAGCTCAAAGATTTCCAGATGTTATGAAAATTTTCAACTCTCCAAGCTAAGAAAAAGACTCAGATGCAAAGTATAGAATTATGAATATTATGCACGTGAGATATTCCACCCACACTGGGGCAGTGCGAACGTGGCTTTACACAAACAGCTCTTGTGTATTTCAAGTGTACCACCTCCACTTGTACTATGATTGCTCATCATAGTAAACTTAGCACAGCAATTGTACTTCTGCAGCCTTCATGCTGCTCTTCTATTGATCCAGATGTCCCTGGAGTCAGTCTTGCTGTCATTACTTACCTATGACACCATACAACACTGAGAGGGTTTCATAGCTGGCTGTGATGCTGGGATTATCTTGGGTGACTAGGGACATCTTTTATCCTTCATGGATAGCTCTAAGTTCCCAAGAAGTCACACCCTTATTTCCAGGACTGGGATGTCCTTCTGGTCTTTTCACTGAGCCAGTGTCCTTTAGACAGCTTTACTTAAGCATGAACAATACCAAACACTCCTAAAATTCCACTACCTCAAATATTAAGCATATTAACAAAATTAACTTACAAAGTTTCAAACTTACAAAGTTGACTGATATATTAGGGAAAGGACTTTTCATAATGCCATCCTCCAGTAAACTGAACAGCCAGTATCTAAACACATGCAGGACTAACTTTTGTATGTGCTTCCACAAACAAGCACCCGAGTACCAGCAAGGGGACATGCTAGCAGCCCTGCCCATCACTTTGTGCTGGCTGCTCCTATTCCAGCTGTGTACTGTGTGACTGATGCTAAGTGAAACAGCTGCACCAGAAAATCTGATCTTAGTGCACTTCTGTCACTACAATCAATAAAGGTCCCAAGAACTACTTCAGAAAAGTTTCACAAGGCAATGACAACTTGACCTCCTATTTTTCCTCTTTGTTGCATTTACACAGTCCAAGGAGATCTGCTGACTAAAAAAAAAAATCTGGTGCAGAATACCTGCCTTTATACAATTAATGCACTACCACTTAAGAGAACCTTCACCTTGCTGCGGGCCTTATCTACAAAAAAGAAAAGTTCACCTTCCTGAACTGAATATCCTGTATTTAAACAGTGTTAAGTATATGATAGATATCACATATGAAGTACCAGCCAGGGCAATTTCTGAGGTCTGACTCCTAAGCAGCTACTTAGATTTACAAAGGAGCTTTACAGAAAATGACAATTATTTTGGCTGCATTTCCAAAAACTCGATGAAAACTAAAGGCTGAACAGAAGAACACAGAAATGGTTTTACGACTGGAAAATGTGGTACATGGAAAGCTGATTGCCTTGAAGTTTCATAACTTCATGTAAGACTTACAACCCTGGCAGGAAGGGTGATAGAATCTTTCACAATACTGAAAAACATCAAAGGATGGAAGCTGAAGTGTGCACCAAGGCTCCTGGGGACTGCCTGGAGCACTGTGTTCCCAGTACTTACTGAGCTTGCTTCAGGTTCCCAAATGCTTTACTCATTCTAAAATCCAAACATCACAGAATCACAGAATAACCGGAGTTAGAAGGGACCCACAAGGACTGCTGAATCCAAGACTGCTGAATCCCTGCACAGCATCATCCCCAAGGGACACACCATGTCTCTGAGTGCTTTGTTCCAACACTCCTTGAACTCTGTCAGGCCAGGTGCTGTGACCACTTCCCTTGGGAGATCTTTCCAGTGCCCAACCACTCTCTAAGCTAAGAACTTTTTTCTAATATCCAACCTAAACCTTGCCTTGAGACTTTTGGCCATTCCCTCGGGTCCTGTCACTGATCACCACAGAGAAGATGTCAGTGCCTGTCCCTCCTCTTTCCCCCATGAGGAAGTATGAGGAAGTTGTAGACGGCAATGAGTTTTCCTCTCAGACTCCTCTCCTCCAGGCTGACCAGGCCAAGTGACCTCAGTCACTCCTCACACAGCTTCCCCTCAAGGCCCTCCACCATCCATGTTGGCCTCCAGTGGACATTCTCTAATAGTTTAATGTCTTTCTCATACTATGGTGATCAAAACATGATTCAGATCTGCTCCAAAAAGCTGAGGGCAGTGCAAGAGTCATGAGAAACTGAGGTCATGAGTCTCTTAATTTCTTTTAAGACCTTTCTGCTTCTAGAGTCAGTATCACAGAGGATTTTTTCTATTGGAACATAAGAAAAATTAAACTTCTTACTGCTAGACACAAAGAAAGCACATATCTTACCCATGGTACGTGGCCTGCATTAGTGCTGTCCAGCCATGAACATTATCCTGCTTATCAATATCAGCCTTTTTCTCAACAAGGAACTGAACAAGGGGCAGCTGTCCAGTTACAGCTGCAATCATTAAAGGAGATGCACCATCAACAGTGGTAACATTAACCTGACTCAGATCTTCATCAATGATCTCTTTAACCAGCTGAAAGTTTCCTGTAAAACAGTGATAAAACATAACCTAAATGTTAATTAGTACATATTTCCAGCCAACATAAAATTGCATGAGGCACTGTATTTTCCTCATTTTCTCTACCTGTACACTTATGGCACAATCCCATTACAATAATTATTTTCTGAAATGAACGACTAAGGAAGGTTGTATAAACTGCAGTGCATCCTGCAAGTGAAGACACAAATAGGGAATATTTCTATTAAATTGCCATAAGATGATGTCCTGCAAAGAAAATTAATGATGCTCAGGCACCATGATTTTTCTTTCAAAGATCCCTGTTCCATTTCCACAGGCTGCAATCACAGAATCAACGATTTTAGAATCAAAGTAGCTGGGTATAAAGGCACTCTAAAAGGTGGCGGAGATCATTCCTTGCCTTAAACAGGTAGAATAATGCCCTGTCTCACACTGACCAGTAAGTTCCTCTTACAAAGATAGTTCAGTGATTCTAAAAACCTTTACTGATGGAATTCCACAACCTCAAAGGAGTTTACTCCAGCACTCAACTTTCTTATATTCCTAATGATTTTTTTTCTGCCTCCAGTATTCGAACTACGCCTCCAATACAAAACTTCCCTACTCCTTGCTCAAGAGTAAAGTCATTTGTTGTCATTAGTCAGCTTTACAGTTCCTTAAAATCTATTCTAATTTTCAAGTTTCCACATAAAGAAGCTGGTAGTCACTTGAGTTCTTGTCTAGATTACAAAAAGCAGTATGAAATATGTTACTGAATGTATTTGAACAAGGTTGAGGGTTTTTTCCTAAATCTTGAAGTAGGGCTGCTTTTAAAAAATGTATGAGGTAGTCAGGACTGTCTTAAACAGAGAGCTTAAGCACACCTACATCCTGTATTTTTTTTGATGTCCTATGGCAGGCAAAAGCAGGGAAGAAGAGAAGGAAAAAAAAAATCTCTGTGACTGTGTGTACTACCACAGGAATAGGGGCAAGAACAAGCAAATCATCAACTGCCATGCAAATGGAAAAATTTTCACCTTTAAAAAAACCCTTCAGATGGTAAACTGCTTCATAGCATAGGCTGCTTTCAACTCAGTCACAGAAATGAACATTTGCCTTGGAAAGTCATTCAGAATCCCAGACAAACCCTGCAGCCACTTGAATGCACTCACTGAAACTCACACCCACCCACCAATGCCACTCAGCTAATTTCTTGGAACAGGACTACTTTTTGTACATTCCAGTTTGGTAAAAGACAGTGGGTGGCTTTTTTAACACAGACCCAGAGCAGACTTTGTTAAACAAAAACCCTGGAACCTACAGAGACACCAGAATTTACTTTGGGACACTCCTTAATCTTATGAGTTGCTTTTTTAACAGTGCTGCCATCCATAGCCAAATAAAAAAAAGCCAAAACACAATGTGCTGACCAGTATTCATTTGGCCCCTCCTATGCTACTTCTTCTGACCCAGCACTAACATCTGTAAATCTCAAAAATCACAGGGGTACAAGAAGGGCACATGATCACTCTAAAAATCTAACAGACTTGAGGCTTTCCCAGGAAGATGTTTTGGTAGCTCACATGTGAAGAGCAGGAACAGAAAAATCATGTTTTCCACACTAGCAAACAGACATGCTCTGAAGTTAGAAAAACTCGACAGGGTGGAAGAATCATGACAGTACTTACCCATTTTCAAAGCATGAAAGACATCAGGTTGCCTCTTTTCTGCATCTGAAAGAAATATAAACATTTATATTAGCAATCAAAAAAATAGCAAAAATCTCTAGTAGAATTTTTATACAAAAAAACTATTAAAAATTTAAAGTATTATAAAACACATGTTTAGGCATATACTTAATAAGAACAAAGAAAGTATTGACAAGTTCTGTATTACCTTTGGGAAAAATGAATCACCTGTATAGTTCTTTGAGCAGAACTAAAGCTAGAAACTATAATAAGGCACCAGCACAGGCTTTTCAATTTCCATTCTCCATCAGGAAACTGTATTTGCAAACTCTTTTTTTCCTGCCTGGAAGTCTAAAATATCCACTAAAGAATTACAGTATGGCTTTGTGGTCTGGCAAAATCGCCTGTACAACAGTGAACACTCAAATTGTATGGGATTATTTTGAAAGGTGACTCAAAAGGAGTTTTACAAGCTGCTCCAGTTTTATTTCCTCTTGAGTATTTCCAGGTTAATTTGTAAAGGTCACAAAAATAATAGTGTCAATTTAACTATGCGGCTTGTTACTTGTGAATTAATATTCTTCAGCTCCCAGATAATCATCCCCATAATAAGAACTGTAATTATTACAAATTGTAATATTTTGAGTGAAGAATCATTCTTTTTACATGGCTTAACAGTACTTCAAAAATTCTGACACTATATAAGATGAGGAAAAAATAGTGACGTATTTTTCACCTTCCACTCATGCCAGAAAATACCGTCCTCTATCTTCGAAATTATTATGAACAAATTATTACCACAGAATCCATGGGGTAACAAAATTTTATGGAAAACAAGGAGACACTGAGAGACTTCGTGAGCCCAATTCTGGCATTTTTATGAAACACAGAAAAGGTTTATGTTCACAGCTTTACTCCAAAGGAAGTCACCTTAATATGATGAACAAAAGCAATTGCTGAAAAGCCCAAAATACTGCAAGAAACTCTTATTTTAAGACCAGGAAAGAGAGTGATGGGTCCTACATTTTCTCCTGATTCAGAAACTGTTCTTATAGAAGGAACTGTGTGTATGAGCTCACCACTGTAAAACAGATTTCAAAAGACTAGTTTAGGAAAGGACCAGGCTCCATTCTTGTCATGTGAAAACCCTGGAGGAGAGGCAGCTTCAGGGAGCAGGAGACCATAAGATGATGTCAGAAGGAAAGACTGAGATCTGGGTAAGCCTAAGTAAGGACAGGGACAGAAGGCAGGTAACACTCAAGCCATTCCAGGTAGTAAATCTGCTGCTGAGAACAGCTGTGGGAAGAGAGCTGCTTTCTCCTAGGAGGCAATTCACCCTATCTATGGCAATGGATCAGAAGAAAAGTTCCTTTTTTCCTGTCTTCCAGACAACAAAAATGATCTTTCTTCTTCACAGGATATTCAAGACTTCAGCACTAGGAGGAGACTTGAAGTATGATCAAAAACCAATGCAGAAATTTGTGTGGAAGAATAATGTTTTTACCCCCCTCTCTGCCCAAATGAGTTACTAGCCTCCTGATGATGGAAATTCCCCCTCAGCAGAGGTGACAAACATCAATCTGCTTTAAAGCAAGTCCAGTCTTCTCACTTAAACAGAATCCTTCAATACTTTAAGTTGAGGCCAACTCTGCCTGAACATACACCCTGTACACGCAAACACATGGACACTCGTGAATTCTATGGATCTCTGATCCTGTGTACTGTAAGCAACAGGATGTCTGTTCCTCAAGGTCATGAGCAAACATCTACAATCAATCAGTCCTGCCTGGCAGCATGGCTGGATGAAAGCTCTAGAGTTCCAACTTAACCTATAAGTCAATATCTGAGTTCACACCTTCTCTACAGCAGAAACAGATGTCTGATTTTTGTTCTTACTTCTTCAAGTACAAGGGAAGCTTGACCTGCAGAAATGACACCAAATGCAGACAACAGTTTTGGACATGTCCATATGGCAGTGGAAAATGATCTTTCTAGAGCTAGCCACATCCTTATCTTTTATAGCAAACAGTACAAAGCTGGAAAATTCAGCTCTTCCAAACCCTCTTGTTAAGCACTTCCCAGTGCTGGCTTGCATAAATATCTTGAAAAGTGTCCCCAAAACAGCCACATACAGACAGGAATCTTATCCTGCTAACATGGAAAAAATTTGCTGAAGTTGGGCACTTGTACCTCAGCTGAAGTAGGTGTGCCAACTCCAACATTTTCAAAATCCAGCTGCAAATTACAAAGAACATCAGGCCCATACAAAGTAAGCTCCTCAATTCCTAAAGAGAAACAAAAAAATAATTCCATACCTGCCTGAGGCCTAATAGTTGTGAAAGATTCCAAATAGTCCTTCATGTCTTTGTGTTTGAAGCCAACAGAGATTTCAAAAGGTGTTTTATGTAGCACATTCAAGTGATCAGGGTTGGCACCTTTCTCCATGAGCTGCTGTGCCAAGCTCACCTTTCCACTGACGGCTGCCAGCATTAAAGGGCTCCAGCCCATTGTCTTTATAGTGTAGTTACAATCAGCTCCCCAGTCTAGCAACAGATGCACCACTGCCTCATGTCCGTGCTGAGCAGCTGCCATCAGTGGAGTGATATCGGGAAGATCATCTCTGCTGCTGTTAAGTACATTTGTGCTAAAATGGTCGTAATTGTCCACAAAAGCTCCAGATTCCAGCAACAATTTCACCATGCTGACATGACCGCCTCTGGAGGCCATTGTGAGGACACTGGCTCCTAACTTGTTCTGTGCATTGAGATCAGCACCATTCTCCAGCAAGATGTGGGCCACGCTTAGATGTCCAAACCTTGGAAGAAAGAGACACAAGGGAGAATTAACACCTTGGACTGCAAAAAACCAACATACTCCAAACCTAGAAAACTTCATTACCAAATTTGCCAATTGACTAATACATACACTGTGAGGGACCATACAAGCATCTCTGATTGTGACAATGGGCACCTTGCTGGAGGAGACCACTCATCAGCTGAGGACTGTAAACTAAACCATTCCACATGCACCAGTGACCGTGATCATAAAGCAGGCACCTATTGAAGAGGGTGGTCTGCTCAAAGCAGCAAAGTGCCAGCCTCATTTTCTGCCACAGGGCACCAACTCATAACTTCCATAAGCCAGTGTCACTTTCATCCTCTTATTTCCACAGATGTATCACATTAAAAGATCAAAGCCAGTTTGTTTCCAGAGATCTTTATTAAGTACTGCCATTACTACTGAACAACTGGAGTAAAAACTGCAGAGTCAGTGCTAACTAAGGAAGAAAAAGACCATTATAAAAGACTAACTCTCCAGTTGATAAATCTGCAGTATCCCTTGTTTTCCAGTTGTGAACCATCAATGAACTCCCACAATGTAAGAAGACTTAGGGAATACAGATGTGTCCATGAAGCTCAGAGAAGAACACGGTGAGTGGCCATCACTGCTGTAAAGTTAGCTGAACTTCCCTCAACACCAAGGGGACCAGAGAGGATCTTTAAGAGAAATGGTTGACCAGCAGTGGGACAACTGGCCATGTGAATGGCCTTCCCTAAAACAATCAATGGAAATTATTCTGCTCCTCAGTCACACACACCAGCATGGGGGGAAGCATCAACACGATTCAGCCCAACACCGAGCACCAAAATGAAATGAAAATAAATTTTTAAAAAGTAAGGTGCTTGAGTTGGCTTCCAGCCAGGTACTCCTTCCTGATAACTAGGGATACCCAGTGAGTAAGTTGACAAAAACAGGCAGACAACAACCACAAACTCACTCAGCTAGAATGCAAAGAGTAAATTTATTTGTTACCTCATGAACCTGGGGATCCCCAAAGCAACACACAGGGAGAGATATAGAAGTGGAGAAGCAGGCACCATTACCAGTTCATGCTAAAGGACCAATGGCCTGCAGTTCACACAAGACTTATCAAGAATTATTCCTGGCTGCAAGGTCACTTAAATGATTTAAAATCCTCTTCAACAGTCTTTAGGTTTTTAACCCATTCCTTCCAACACTCAGCACTGTGATGATGAGCATACAGGGACTGGTAATGGGTGTGCCATAGTGTCTTGTGATTCGACTGTCTGTAGCAGTTTCTAGGTCAGACTTGTGCTATGATTTCAAGAGACTGCTATATTACAAGGCTAAATTAAAACCCTGTGTAATATTAAGTATCTGCCAATAATGAAATATGGCACCAAACCCTCCTTGTGTGAAATATCTACAAGAACTTGCTCAGAGTACTGAAGTCTGACACCAGCTTTACCAGAAACCTAGCTTTAATATCACTTGAATATCAGAGGCTCTGCTAGTTTGTCAGTAAGCAAAAGGCAATCAGACAAGCCACACCCCCAACCAGCCAGTTATCAGTGAGAAAATGGCAACCCCATATTTTAATAAATATAATACCTTGACAAGATGTGTGCGTCGTGCTCTTGTTGCAGGCATCATGCACTACTGCATGCTCATGCACGTTGTGCTTAGCATAGCCCAACTCTGACCCTGAAGGCAACTTTTGTACATTACAGCAAAGCAGACCTTTGTCGAGGAAACAGAGAATGCTACTAACCACTTAAAGCAACCACAGCCTCAAAGTCCTTTGTTTCCTCCAGAGAGTATACAGTTGCAGGAGGAAGCCTCTGGAGCTTGTGTACTCCCTAAATCTATCCTGTACCCTTCACTGCATCACCTCAACAGAGCCTGCAACCCCTCCACACAGTAATTTTATGCATATTTGCTACTTCCTGCCCAACTGCAATAGAGCTAATCACAGCCAGAAAATGAAACAGCTACATAAGTCTGAAGCTTACCTTTGTACCAACACTGGGCTTCCTTTCTGGTTATCCATTAAAAAGAAAAGAGAAAAATGCTCTTCTACTTTATGCTTTTTGACAATATATACAGTACTTTTCAAACGTCAGCCAGTAATTTCTTGAAATCAGTGAGAGGGTTTTAGTCATCAGACTTTATTGTTTTTAGGGAATGAGTGTATGGTTTTCATTAAGAGGAAAAAAAAATCTGTTTCTGCAACGTTTTTTCTTTTTTTTAAAACCTTCATAAAATACCCAAATTGTTGAACCTTGTCTTCCTTGTTCTTACTGGGAAACCAGCTGTGTGACTCATTCTTTGGGAACTTTCTATGGCTATTAATTGAAAAGAGAAATGTTGACTTTGAAACAGATTATTTTTTTCCAAGTATTTTAAAGTTATGAAATTTTAAAAAAAGGCAACCAACAAAAAACCAAACAAATACAAGCAAACAAACAAAACCTCCCCCCTCTAAAAAAAAACCAGAAAACAAAACAAAACACCACTAGAATGACAAAAACCATTTATTCTCCTGATTAAGCATTTAGTTATTATAGGACAGCAATGCCCTCCAACTGTTCAAAACACACCTGTGAGCCCAAGGTGTGCTTGTAGGAATAAAGACAAGCACCAACCCCAGCATCAGCAACACGGGAACCTCCCATGGCCCAGCAGTGGGTTACGCAGAGGACAGCATCACTGATGCAGAAAACAAGCATTTTGTCATTAAAAACCCTCAGCAATGATTTTCCCTATCCTCCAGCAAGCCATCAAGGCAAACATGGGCAAACTAAGGGAAATTAATTGTTTCAGTTCGCTTCAGTATGTTTTACATCAGACGTAGTTTTCAACAAGTATGACACACACAGATGAAAAAAAAAAAAAAACAAAAAAACTCCATGCAAATTAAGTAAGGCTACGTGCATATACCTATTGTCACAGAGGAGAGCAGTGTTTCGTGTTCACGTTAGCTCCAATTTTGCGCTGGCTAAACCAAGGAATAGCATGCAGTGCTTCAAATACCACATTCTTAACATGGGAAGTTTCTAATGCCCCAGGATAACACTTCGCCAATTCTACACCGGACAGCCCCTCCTCACCCCCACCCAGGGACGGGAACAGGCGACCATTCCGATCCCCCCGGGACAACTCAGGGCTCCGCTGGCACCAACCCACCGCGGCCCTCAACATGGCGCCCGCCCTCTCTCCCACGCTGGCTCGCCCGGAGCTCCCCGGCGCCCTCCCTCGGCCCGGGGACCGCGGTTCGGAGAGCGAGGGAGCCGAGTGCCCGCGGCAGCCCGGGGGCGGGGAAGGCAGAGCCCCGGCGGCCCTCCCTCCCTTCCCCGCCCCGGGACTGCCGCCGACTAGGCCGACGCTCCGCGGCGGGGCGGGATGGCGGTGGGAGACCCGCACCTCGGCCCTGATCCCTCCCTCTCCCCCTCTCCCGTACCTGGCCGCTTGCATGAGGGGGCTCCATCCGTAGTGGTTCCTGCTCTGCACCGAGGCGCCCTTCCGCAGCAGGAACCGCACCAGCTGCTCGTGCCCCCCCGCCGCGGCGAACTGCAGCCCCGTGTTGCCGGCCTCGTCCGTGCAGTCCACGGGCACGGCGGGGCTCGGCGGGGACGACGCTTCGCCGCGGGGCTCCGCCGCCGTCTCCTCGGGGCCGCACGACAAGGAGGAGGGGGCCGCGGGGTCGCCGCCGCCGACGGGCAGCCCCAAGAGGCGTCGGGCGGTCTCGCAGTCGCCCTGCTCGCAGGCGCGGAGGAAGAGCTGGACCTGCGGGGGCACCCCGCTCTCCCCCATGGGCAGCGCTGCCGGGCCCCGAGCGGCTCGGCCGCCCGCGACCGCCCCTCCGCCGCCGGGAAGGCAGCGGGGAGGAGGGGACTCGGCCGGCAGGAGGAGGCCGGCCCAGGGCGGCCGCAGCGCCCCGGCCGCTCTCGCACGGCGTGAAGGGGGAGCCGGGCTGGGCCGCTCTCCTCGGAGCCGGCGAGGGTTATTCCAGCCTGGGCCGGGGGTCTCGGCGCGTCTCCTGCCCCGCTGGCAGCCCCAGTGGTGTCCCCCCGCCTCGCCCAGCCAGCGCCTGTGTCCTCACGGCTCCTGCCCCCTTCGCCAGGGATTTCTGCGCTCTGGGCTGCAGCCGTTCCGCGCCGTTACTGGCTGCCGCGCAATTAAATGTCCCCGCATTACGTGTCTTTCTGGCCGGGGTCATGGCAGCACGCCTTCGCTGTGGGGCTTATTTTCACCTGACACAACAATCCCTTTTTCTTGCTTCACAACGCGACTTCCTACCGCCTGGCGCGGTCCTTCTGTCAGCCTCGCTCCGTGTACCTGATACTCCAGCCTTTACTTGCACCGTCCTACTTTGTGTCTCCTCTAGCTCCAAAGCAGTCTCTCTCTTCAATGAGATACAGGATTCGAAGTTCAGTCTTTTCCCCTAGAAACACCCATTTCCCATCTCCTGACAGTGCTGATTAGTCTTTCAGTTTAAAATCTTTGTGCATGACTGTGAATTTCTTGTGTGTCTTCCCTTCAGTTTCAGCCCCCCAGGAAATCCTGAAATCTTTTCTAGGTTAAACTGATTTTACAACATCTAAAGCAAAGCAAAAAGAAAAGAAAAATCTTGAACTTCGTAACTCAATGATATCGTGTTGTGTCCCTATCTATAAAATCAGTGACTTCAATGGCAGGACAGGGCACTTGTTATAGGGTGGAGGGTTTGGGGATGAGAAGACTAGGAAAACTTAAAAGGAGTATAAAACTATCAAATGCCACCAAAATGTAGCAATCTCCTGGTTTTAGGCAGTGCCATTCTTATCTTCCAAGTTATACAGCTTTTTGGCTCTGATACACTGGCAAATCCAGATTGCCAGATCATCGTGGCAAAGGGCCAAATTATTACACTTCAAGAAAGTCTACAGCAAACAAGAGTCCTGGCTGTGGTTATGGACACTTTTCCTTTGAGAAAGTACCATTCATAGCAAAAAAAAAAAAAAAAAAATCATATTTATCATTACAGAAATAATAGAACAGTTTCCTGGACAGGGCACGTATTCAGGGATACTTCTTTAATTATAGATAGCATGTAGAATATTTAAGTATGTGTCGCCTACATTTATGTTCAATAATTTTCTTAAGCATAAAGAAGCTTACAGTGGCCATCAGCAGAGTGAAGATGCATGGCTAGGAAGAATTTTGGTCCAGCCAAAACAGCCTACAGCCATCCTTACATTATAACAGTGTGAGAAGCTTGCTGTTGTCAATAAAGCTGGATGGTGCAAATCACTCTTTGTAAGATTTCAGAGCCTGGAAGAAGGGAATGGCAAGAGAGATTAATGCAATACATTATTCATGATTGAAGAAAATTGGGTCATACTTACCATATCAAAGTGCATGCTCGGATATTGTCAAATTAATGACAGGATCACTCCAGTTTATCTTTGAGATAAGCTACTCAACATGGTGATCCTACAAATTTATGTTATGTAGCTGATAGTTATGCTACCAATTTCTACTAATGGTTTGAAACTCCAGACAAAAATATCATGAATGGAATGAGAAGCCTATCAGCAAAAGATGCAACACTTATTTTAAGAAGTTTACAAGACATAGGAAATATTTGATGTGGTTTAAAAAATGAGAGGGAAAATTATTTGTTCTGAATTCTGCTGCTGTCATCTGATGGTCATCATCTTCAGTTGGCATCCTCAGCATTTATGCTGGTATGATCACTCAGGGGTTTCTGTCACTGACCGATGACCAAGACAAGGAAAAAGAATCAAATTTCTTCTGAAATGAATAAACTGCTATGGAATATTCTCCTGGATAATGCAGTACCAAGCTCTTTGTAAAATACAGGATTTGATTTCTTCATCAATGAAAGATCAACCTAAGCCTTTCAAACAGTTCATTAGGATAAGATAATGGAGAAAGCTTAGGTTGGAAGATAAGATGGGACAAAATAAAACAAAGATTCTCAAGTGCAGACTGTGTGTTAGTTGTTCAGAAGATTTGTCCAAACTGCATCTTTGTCCAGTCAGTGAAAAATGCATTGCTTTTGATAAGAAATTAATTTACATCAGTTCTGTGCTAATTTGTATAAGTCAATGTTAGATTGCTCCAAGGTTAAAATAATTTTAAATGACAGAAAAAAACCCTAATAAATGAAGAAATTACTTTCAAATAAAGATGAGAAAAGTGCAAGGAACAAAACAGGCCCACCAGAAAGGGCAGAACAGATAAGGCAGGAGTACACATGTCAGGAATCAACATCTGTGAAACTTCTCTAACTTAAGTTTCCACTGCTGATGATCTCAAAACACCAGCAAGGAGATACAAGTTTTATTGATGCTACTCATCATATAATGTGAAATGAAAGAGATAAATTACTTAGAGTCATTGTTCTTCAAGACTCAGAGCTAAGCATTTGTCAAACAAAGCCTAGGAAACCATTAGAGCATGTAATGTACCCATAGAACTAGTAAAGTAAGTATAATATGGCAAGTGTGCAATGATGTAGAACCACAAATTGGCCAGGTAACAAAAAATTCCGTTGCTCTCACAGCAGTAATAGGATGTAATATATTTGGACATATACCATGACACATGAGCAAATCTCTACCTGATACGTAATTCAGGATCATGTAATATGGAAAACTGTAAAAATGCCATCATAATCAAAAGCCTCTCAGAAATGTAGAAATGCAAGTAGACAAGCAATCTGTTCCAAAGAAATCTATGAAACTAGAAGTAGCTGACTCACTCATAATCTGCATTATCAAAGTGTGAGGATGGTGGCATCTCAAATCCCCAAATATGATGGCTTTTTTCATGGCAATTTAAGAGGTAAAAGATTATTTCCTACTGTAAAATCTTACTGATGTGAATCACAAGAAGGTAATACTTCTGAGAAAAAGAAAACTGAAACTTTTAGTATGTCTTTTGTGTGAAAACACTTATCCCTGCCTTAATGAAAAGGAAGACACATATTAGAAATACCATCACAGAAAAGGAAATGCTTCCCCAGTATCACTGTACTTATGTATGTTAACTGTGTTCCTTTCAGGCAGAGAAACAGAAACAACCTTGATAAAATTACTAAAAACCAAATGGTAACAAGTAGCTACAGTGTAGGGTGACATAGATTAATTTCACAACATAATATCTGCTTGACTTCTTGGTTCAGAATTTTAATCGTGGTCTTCTCTTTGTCTACTGTGACGAGCTGCTATACCTTTATGAGGAATTTACTTCATTTATTTGTTTCAGAGTATGCCATAATTTTGACAAACTTTCAAAAAATATTTGCCACTCAGTATTTTAATTCATTGTGTCCACATGAGACTGTATGAAAAATCAGTCAGGTTTCCAACATATATCTTCATTAACGTGTCACATCATACCATAGCTTGTGAGCAGAACTGCAGTTTTGTTCCAATACTTTCTGACAGCTAAGCTTCCTGGCCTAGGTTTCCTTTATGTTCCTTATCTCTTCCACTGCCTGCAGTTCATGCTTGCTATTTAGCGTAAGAGAAAAATTATATCCAATCAATGCATACCTACAGCAAGCAAATATATTGATTGATGGCTTTGACATGCATGTTCTGTCTCTGTCTGTCCATCCTGGCTTGTATGTGACCTTTTGAGCAGGCATTTTGTATGTGTATTTTATCTATGGGTGCACATACACATGTGCACATACATGTTCTACAGAGATCTGCAAACTGGTGCAGCTGAGGTCTTGCCCAAGTAGTCCACTGAATGCTGCCTCATTTTATTGACCTGTCACTAGGAGAAATTCACAGCATTCATCAGCCTAGAAGGCTGATGAATTGAAGATTAGGATAGAAGATCCCTGGAATAGAAGATCCCTGGACAGTTAGGATAGAAGATCCCTGGACAGTTTCTATCTCAGTCATCTAGTCTGTGTTTTTATTCTGTTTTATTTTTAGGGTTCTTCCTCTCAATTCCTTGATCTTTCTGTCTCTGCACTATACACCCAGCTTCCTTCTTGACCTGAAGCCTATGCTGTGAAACAGGGTTCCTGCTGAAGCACTGAGGACACTTTGGCCCTGGGAAAGCAGGGTGCAGCTCATTTCGTGTTTTGCATGCATTGTGCAGCTGTCTCAAATAAAGAGACTTTCAATCCAAACACATTTATTAAAAAAAAAAATCCTTGGCACTGGTAGTACAATAGGCTGAATAATAATATTTTAAAAATATTTGTGCTAATAAAGGAGAGAAAGAGCAGCCAATGTGAGAACTGGGGGGTCTTGCAGGACAGTGCAAAGTTTTTCTGCACAGTTTTTATGCACAGTTAAAACAGTGGTGAACAATGACCCCATAGGTCCAATGCTGTCTCCAGGGAGTATGTTTTATAGCTTGGATGATTCTTCCTCTCCTTAAGCAAATTTCCTATCTATGTCCAAAGTATTCATACATGATGTTTCCTATCATATTCTTCTGATTTTTTTTCTTTAGAATATGTAAGCTTTGGCTTTTTCTAAAACTAGGAACTTTATTCTGAAATATATTATTTGATACTTTATTTTTAGTCTGAAAGTGTGAATTTGGGAAGCTGTTTAACTTATTGAAAATGCATTCTTCCCACTCTATTTCCATTTTAGATTTTTGCTTTTTACACACAAAAGAAAAAAAAAGGAAAGGTTTCTATGAGGTGAATTTTAAATATTTGGCAAAATTTAATAGCTCTGTTTTTTCTGTAATGTATATATCATCACTAAAAATAAGAATACCTTTTAATAAGTATACAGCTGTTTAATAGTTCATCTTATCTTACCTCTTTT